CGAAGAATTAGCTAAGCAACATCCAAATGCATCGTATATCATAAATAATTGTTTCTACATGGATGATCTTATGGTGAGCCTAAATGAATTAGATGAAGCGAAGGATACCTGTAAAATAATAGAGAAAATATTAGATAAAGGAGGATTTAAAATGCAAAAATGGTCAAGTAACAATGAAGAATTATTAGAATATTTACAAAATGGAAAAGAGAATTTAATGGAAAATATAGAAATAAAGCTAGATAAAGTAATAAAAATATTAGGATTGTCATGGGATAGAAAAGATGATAATTTTAAATTTACAGTAAATTTACCTGAATTGACGACTCCAATAACGAAGAGATCCATTCTGTCCGACGTAGCTCGTCTTTTTGATCCGTTCGGCTGGTTGTCACCTGTAATTATATCTGCAAAAATTATGATACAAAAGCTGTGGCTGTGTGACCTTGCTTGGGATGATGAATTACCTACGGACCTGAAAGAGGAATGGATAGAATATAGAAGGGGACTCACTTACCTGCAAAGGATTTCTATTCCACGATGGTTAAAGTTGTCACCAAATAACACGGATGTCCAACTTCATGGGTTTTCTGACGCCTCTTCTACATCCTACGCAGCATTGGTTTACCTAAGGGTCAAGGATAAGGATAACAAGATATACATTACCTTGATTGCGAGCAGAACAAAGGTGGCACCTCTGAAACAATTAACTGTTCCGAGATTAGAGCTTTGTGGTGCAGTTTTGTTAGCAGAATTAATAAATGATATTGCTGGTTTATTCGATTTATCAAAGGATAAAATATTCGCTTACACCGATTCAATGGTGGTTTTATCATGGTTGCAACATCAGTCCAACAGGTTGCGAATATTTGTTGCAAACAGAGTAACTGAGATCCTACGAATTTTAGATTGTGATAGATGGAGTCACGTTCAATCTAACGAAAATCCAGCAGATCTTGCTACCAGGGGTATTAACGCATGTGATTTGTATGACAATAATTTATGGTGGCAAGGTCCGAAGTGGTTGAAGAACGAAGAAGTAACTTTAAAGAGAATCATGATTCCATATACTAATTTAGAAATGAAAGCTTTATGTCACACTCATATTACTACAAAACCAATTTGGGAAAGATTTTCGTCTATGTCAAGAATGAAAAGAGTTTTAGCCTATTGTAAAAGATGGAAAAAACAGAAGCATATAGAAAGAAGATCAGATATTTTAACGTATTTAGAAATGGAAGGAATTATTTACAGTTGTATTAGATTTTATCAAAGCGAAGTTTATCACGATGAATTAGAAGATTTAAAAAGAATTAAAAGAGTTAAAAAAGGAAGTTCACTAGTCTCACTCTCACCGTTTCTAGATGCAAATGGCTTAATGAGAGTTGGAGGACGATTACAAAACGCTGAGATGTCTGAGTGCGCAAAGCACCCTATTATAATACCTGATAAGGTCCATATAACACAACTTATTATAAAGGAAGCTCATATCAAGACATTACATGGTGGAATACAATTGATGATGTCATACATTCGAAGTCGATATTGGGTAATAGGTTTAAAAGCGTCGATCAAAAAATATGTACGTAAATGTAAGATATGCATCATTGATAAAGCAAAGGTTAAATATCAACTTATGGGACAACTACCAGCAGAGAGAGTAACACCACATCGCCCTTTCCTAAATAGTGGAGTTGATTTCGCGGGTCCTATATTCATACGGACATCAAAGGGCCGTGGTCACCAATGCACTAAGGGCTATATATGTTTATTTGTGTGTATGGCCACACGCGCTGTTCATCTAGAAGCAGTAACTGATTTGACTTCTCAGGCCTTTATTGCAGCGTTTCGACGATTTGTTGCACGCCGTGGTCATTGCGCTCACATTTGGAGTGACAACGGCACCAATTTCGTTGGTGCCGCCAAGGAACTTAAACAACTATTCGAAAGAAGCAAGCGCAATGACACAATTAATATCGCAGAAATTTTAGCCAACGATGGAACAACTTGGCATTTTATACCTCCCAAGATGCCAAGCTACGGTGGTTTATGGGAAGCTGGGATTCGGTCTGTAAAACGTCATCTTACACGAGTCAATAGTAACTCGAAGCTAACATATGAAGAAATGTCCACCTTGCTCGCACAAATTGAAGCATGTCTCAATTCACGTCCGCTCTGTAAACTTGACAATACTGTGGAAACTTTGACACCATTAACACCATCTCATTTTCTTATTGGAGAGCCTTTAATTGGTGTTCCGGATGAGGTATATGAAGGCAAGAAAATCAACCTATTGACGCGTTGGCAGGTAATTCAGAAAATGACACAGGACTTCTGGAAACGCTGGCATGTAGAATATCTTAATACATTACAACAAAGATATAAATGGCAAGTACCAGTGGACACACCTAATATAGGAGATATTGTTATTATTAAAGAAACTGATATGCCCCCAACAAAATGGCTACTGGGAAGAATAACGGCACTTCATCCAGGTTCTGATAAATTAGTCAGAGTTGTGACATTACAATGCAAAGGCAACAAGGAAATAAAAAGACCTGTTTTTAAAGTCATACCATTGCCAATAAATGAAGACTGTTAATTATAATATATACTGAATGGTGGGCGGCTCATTTTCCATAATTATTTGTTTATTAATTTATTGAGGTATACATATATTTATAAACTGTGTTTTTAATTTATACAAAACTTTTATAATTTGCATATATGTAATGTTTTCAATCTGTACAAATTAACTTTTACTTTGTTAGTATTATATAAACTTATTTACATAGATTAATGATGTTTTACAGTCTTTAAAGCTTATTTACTAATTATTTAAAATTTATTGAAGTAAGGAAATTATTATAGATGAAGTTATAGTTTTTTTTTTTTTTGCATGTATTCGTAATTTGTTATTTATTGTTTATTTGAAAACTGTTAGTTTTGGTGGGCGGTATGTTTAACTAATGTATTAGAATTACGCTCTTATATCTACATATTGTAAATATATCTTATGAGTTAGTTGCAAATTAAACGCAGTACGATACACACGCTTGTTTCCTTTCACTCGCATTGCTAAGTCTATTCAAGCAATAATACACCTTAACGCAATAAACACTTCGTATAATTCTGCTCCGTTTATGTCGCACGATTCGCCATCCTTGAATTTATTATGAAAGTCGAAGCAACTTTTTTTTATGTCGTCCTCTCCTATTTCAACAAATTTATATAAAAATCCGAAAGACTGTTCGAAATTGGATAATGTTTCAAATCGGGTAGTAACAGATGAAATGGCTGTATCCAATATTACATAGAAAAAATTAATTTTGAAATTTTCTTTAGCAGTTAACTGAATATCCTCATCTCCTTCATAGTCAAATTGTTTTCGCTTATGGCGTCGACGTAGATTAATTTCAACAGGAAATTCCGGTTGTATTTCAAGTGATTCACATAATTCATCAGCAATTTTCAAATACTTTTCGAAATTTTCATCATTTCTAATACTTTGGAAAAAAATTAAAATATTATTAATAGATTCAGCACATGAAGTAAGATTCCAAGAAACGGTCTGCATCATTTTACTAATAATATTTACTTTTTCTAAGATTTCGTACCATATTACTGTGGAACAAATAAATTTGTACGATTTAATTTTCATTGCCAAACATTTAGCTTCATGTTGACCTATTGGTGTTGAACATTCTTCCGCTAGTTCTATTAGGCTGTCATAAATTTCACCTAATTCATGACGCAGTGGTCTAATCGCCTTAATCCTTGATTCCCACCGGGTTACGCTAACTTGTTTTACTGTTAACGATTTTACATGTTTTTTTAAAATTTGCCATCGAAAAGGTGATCCGGAAAAGTAATTGTATATTGCTGACACATTACTAAAAAAATCCACAGTTGAAAAAGAAACTTTCGCTGCATCATTGACGACCAAATTTAATGTATGCGCGTTGCATGGCATAAACAAAGCTCGTGGATAATTGTCCAAAATTCGTTTCTGCAATCCAATATGTTTTCCAGCCATATTTGATCCATTATCATACCCCTGGCCTCTCATATCGTTAACATTTAATTTAAGAGAGCTTAATTTTTCAATTAAAAAGTCGTAAAAAGCTTCTCCAGTACTTTTTTGAGCTGGAGAAAAACCAACGAAATTTTCTCTCACTTCTACTTCGTCATTTTGAATATGCACATATCTCAAAATTATTGTAATTTGCTCGACATGTCCCATGTCCGGCGTACAATCCAAAATTACTGAAAAATATTTGGCGTCTTTTATTGCTGACAAAATATATTTTTGAATTTGCGCTGCAAGGATACTAATTATTTCATTTTGGAAGCGATTTCCCGCATAATGTGGCATATGGTTCTTTAAAGCAACTGATTGTTGAATGCGATTTATGTGATCTGCCATAACATCATCAAATTTTCCTATCATTTCAATTGCTTTTAGAAAATTTCCATTATTGTTTTCATACAATCTGCTCGAGCTACCTCTAAACGCTAAACCCTGTACTGCCAGAAATTGTACCACAGATATCATGCGTACGACAATTTGATACCATCGTTTTTTCTCTGCGTCATAATACCGTTGCAAATTTTTATCAATTGTAGCTTTGTTTTTTAAATTTAATTCCAAATTTTTCCAATTGGTGCAATTTCCGATATGCAGCGATGTTTTTTCATGACGAGATAAATTATCAGATGTGTGTTGCCAATCATTGAAGCCTTCATTAACTAATTTTATTTCTTGTTTGCCAAATAATTTACAACAGAAGCAAAATATGGAATCCGTTTTTGGAAAATAGATTAACCACTCACGATTAAATTTTTCACCATTTGGCATTTTTCTATAGAAATAAGTTGATGAAAATGATCTTCCCAATTCATTAATTGGATATGTAGATTGTTTATTTTGTATGGGTCCTTTTTCGATTAATATATCCAATATTTTAGTGGTAATTGTTAAAGGCCAGCAAGCTGGATCATTTAAATCCATACACATAGCAATATGCTTTATCAATTTCAGCGGTATCGGTATTGTATAGATCGATATCCTTATTATCTTCTGATTCCATTTCGTCGGTACTACTAGTATTGTCATTAGCCTTTTCATTTTCGACAGATAATTCATTTTCATTTTCATCGCAAAACAAATCATCAATTGGATTTAATTGGCTACTACAACTACTTTCCGGTTCTGGCGATTTTACTAAAAACTTTGTTAATGAGCCAAACATTTTTTAGCTTCATTTTGCTTTTCCTCTCGCTTTCTTTTATATTGCGCTCCAGACAATCTTTTCGTTTTCCTTTCAGACATTCGTAGGCCTTTAAAAATGTAAATGAGCAGTGATATTAAATTTTAGGGTAGACTTTCAATTTTGGGGCCCGGAAAATTTTGGCGGGTCTTTTTGGAGGGAAAAGGCCTTTTAATATGAAATTCTTAAATAAATATTAAAAAATATTTAATAATATTAAAAAAAAAATAAAAAAAAATTAAATAATAATTAAAATAAATAATAAAATAGTGCAATTTAATATTAAATTACTTAAAATCTATAATTAATGTATATTTTAATAATCCAAAAAGACCCGCCAAATTTTCCCGGGCCCCAAAAGTGAAAGTCTACCCAAATTTTACATTTTTTGTGTATTACCTTTTTCAGTCTTTGTCGAGTAAATAAACTTTTTATTAAATTTCACCACACGAACACACAGCTAAAAGTTTTCAGGAATTAAGCAATTTATTTTTATTCGTTAAATTAAAGACTTTAATAATATCGGATCACACACAGGACACAAATAACGATTTATCCTCGCTAGTCTATAGACTAATACGACTAATAAGACGAATAAGACCGCTTACGCGACGCCGGTCAATTGAAAAAACTATTTCGGCTCGTCGCTCGTGCAATGTTCGAAAAAATTCGGATTCGCTGCATGACTAGGTCATGGACGAATTAGAGACTGGACCTGACATAAAATACAAATGTATGAAAAACTAGTTCAACCAAGTGACGCATAACGCACACAAAGATTTTATTACATTATTATAAACACTGATACACAATACAATATTTCTAGTGCTTGAACGTATTCGATAAAATACATATATCGATGAACCAATGAATGACATTTTAGACATTGGTTAGCATAGTCATCATATTTTACATCTTTTAATTTAAAATATCTGTATTTATTATAATAAATTAAAATAAATGAATTAAAGAGGCAATAATAATGTGTCAAATAATAATTATTTTTTAATTTGATTTATATAAATACGATGGCATTGATGGCAACATTCTGTTGGCCTATAATAATGTTAGTCAACAAATAAATATCGGGTGTATATTCCATTAATATATAATAAATATTATTTTGTAAAGATTACAAAAATATTAAGTTAATTAAATAAAGTAATTTTGTTGATTCTGTTATTGAACTATTTTAATTGGCAATTGATTGTCTCGGGTAGTTTTAAAAATGTGACACTGTCCTAATATTGCTCAGTTCTTAATAAACATTTGTGAAATTAGGAAAAAGAAAAAGTGATTGCAAATTGTGAAAAAGTGAGTGTTGGATCAAGAAAGTAAATAATTAGTGCAAGTGGTAAAGTGTTTTATTACAAATCGCCAACCCAGAAGTTTAGTGCTAAAACATTATTGTTTGATTTTGTGTAATTTATGTGTTGAAATAAAATGATCTTTATTATTATTACAATGGAATTATATTCCAAAGTATATAAATGTGGTATAAAATAAAATAAAAAATTAAGTACACATACTAATTATAATTTTTGCATTTATATTTTTATTTGATTTAGAAAATATTTTTATAAATTTGTTGTCATCAGATTGTAGGATATTGTGATAAAAGTATTTTATGTTATTGTACTGTACAAATAACGCAATTCGTTCAGTTATTTCGTCAAATATCGATATATTTTTCGACATTGTCAAGCACTAGTCGATGTCAAATGGACTCACTCGACAGTTTTGTCATTTGTTCTGAATGGTATAATCCAGCCCGCTTATGATGGTTGTCAGATGTCAACAATACATATAAATATCGACTATATTTAACATAGTTGGATAATATGACATTTTATTTTACATTTAATTAAATTTTGTGATAAATAACAATAAATGTAATAAAATAATGTATTTACAAGTAAAAAGATAAATAGTGCTGCTTCCGCCGTTATAGTTTTTACACCATTTAACAGAACATTTAGTCATTTTTGGGAGATGTTTTGTTGACAAGTAAGTGCTTGAGGCTGACACAAAAAACAAACGACCTAGGCTAAAATTCCCTGGTTACAGACATGACCGTTAAAGGTACGTCCGCTTATATGTCTGGTCCAGTGGTTAATTCGTTCATGGACTAGGTATATAAATACTACAACGACCTAATCAGTTTTTATACATTTCTTATTTCTGAGAAACTCTTTTTAGATAGATTAGATTAGAGAAACTGTTTTTACTTCGTATCTTAATGAAAACAAACCGATTGTATTTTTGCCCAGTAAACAACTTGTAACGATTTGGCCGCCTCTTAATTTCGGCCGCCTGCGTGCGGTGCACGCAATGAACGCCCGTCAGCCACGGCCCTGTGAACGCATACAGTAAATGCATTGTATTTTATTGGGTTTTATGCAATCTACATTATTTTTAACATTCATTTTCTTTGGCATCATCCGAAATTTCGCTATCACTGTTTTCATCATCATCCGATTCTTCAACAATGTTTTCCTCATCTGAAAATAGTAAAAAAAAATATTTTAATGAATCAATAAGGTTGTTAAGAATTAAATATCAAGCTCAATTACGTAGGACTGCATATTAAATGTTACGATGTGTTGTGATGTCGATTGTGCTGTGGCAGTATCAGCAGGTCCTTGTAAAAGTATGTCGTATATAAAAGATGAAATGTGAAATGAAATGAATATAATAAGATGGAACCGTATTCCCCTCAAACCAATTAAAATCGTAACGACTATCAATTAAGTTCCAACCGTTATTTTCAGGTGTAAGAATTGTTGGTTCTTTTAAATTACAATTTCGCCATATATTTGTAATGTAGGCAGTTCTCAATAATTGTTGATGTAGTTCACGTTGACAGGGTGGTAAATTTGATGAATCATAGCTTACTACTTTTTCATAAACACTTTGTGTTGTACGTAGCAAGGAACTTTTCATAATGTGCATTATTTAATTTTAAACATTTCAAACAATTTCAAATTAAATCTTCAATCAAAATTTCAATTTTTTTTTAAGATGTACAATAAATAAACTTTATCCTATTAAATTTTCAAATTTACAGAAACAAGTTTTAAAACTCAATTTACTAAACAGTTCAAAAAATAAAGGGGTTGATGACGTGCAGGGCTGACGCCTGCCAGGTCATGGCTATTGCTCTTAGCATGCCATAAATCGTAAATAGACAAATTTCTAACCTTACAGGGAGACCGTTACTCCCAGGGTTCACTAGCTCTTGGACTATATGATGTCCCAGTTTTGAGCCTTCCAGAAGAAGAAAATGTTGAATTGGAAGATAATTTAGCTGAGTTATCAGAACAGCCAGTTGTATATATAAGTGGATACTTGGCATCCAAAATGCTGAAGAACCACAAATGTGAAAAGTGCCGTGAAGCTTTGACTGAGGTGGATCCTGAGAAGCTCTCTGATCCGACATACAAATATATTAGCTTGAGAGAATGGTGGGAGAACAAAAAATCGCTCACGTACCCCTCAAATAAATTATGTATCTTAATACAAACAGCAACTAATATAATAGAGAATGAAGTCTTTCCAGTTCTTTACACACATGATATTTGTTAACTAGCTGTAACAATATTTTTTTTTTTTTTGGCAAGTAATTTGTTGTTTAAATGACTCGCGGTGCTATGGGTTACACCACGAGGCACAACATGTTTAAGTTTGCGGCTGTGTTATAACGTTTGTTCCATTGAACTCTTTTAAACAGTTGACAATGCCAGTCAAGAGCTCAAAAAACGTTCCAATTGTGGACTCATTGGTAATGATTTGGGGGAGACCAAAATGATCTATGTCAAAATAGTTGCATGTGAGTGCATGTTTTGAACGTAGAGATGAGAAGCGAGGGCATTCCGCAAAGAGATGCCTCCAGGTTTGTGGCATGGATCCATCGCACGGACGGGAGTCCTCGCCGACGATATTGAACCTGTAGAGGTACTCCTTGTGGAAGCCATGATTAGTTAGAAATTGAGTAACTGCAAAGACAGGTTTTATGGAATGAAGAAATTCTAGAAGGGAAGAGTAAGAAGGAAGAAGGGATTTGGTGTATAGGCAATGGGCGGGATTTTCAAACAATTCTTGAGATGCGGAAGAGCATTTGAGTTTATTGAGGTGTTTAATATGGCTAATAGGTACAGCGTAGTAGTCAGGGGAGCGGTGGAGATTGGCTGCCGCTTTAGCTGCAGCATCCGCCTGTTCATTTCCATCGAGTCCTACATGAGCTTTAACCCAGGCGAACTCAACGGAAAGTCCAGATGATCGGACTGAGTGTATGCTCTTATGGATGTTGACAGCAAAAGAGTTGTGACTATTGCGATTGGATAATTCTGTAAGTCCAGACATACTATCAGAAAGAACTATGGTTTTTGAAAGTTTTTTAACTAAAATGAATTTGCAGGCCTCCTGAATAGCAAGTAACTCCGCCTGGAAGACAGAACAACAATCATGAAGCTTGAGTTTTCTTACCGCAGTCCGCCTCCCAGATGGGTCGAAGACTACGAAGGCTGCTCCTACTTTATCGGCATGCTTACAACTGTAACAATATTAACAGCACAATGTGACAATGCATGGTTTGACTGTCTATTACACAAGACTCATATTTTTGAAGTCATATACTTATTATAGGGGCAGTTGTTAATAAGACGCCAGTGCCAAAGACTTAATCAGGCGATAGCCATTCAAGAAGTAGACTTGGCTGATGATGTTAAAAAAGCTCAACAGCAGAGCAAGGCCAAATAAAGTTAACATTAATAAAGTAAAAAAAACTATGGTATATTAAATAAACAGCTTATCAAAAAATATATATATATATATATTTTAAATAAAAATAAATAAAATTAAAACAAATTGTCTTATTTTTTCTCCCTCTAAAATCAAAGGTGTTCATTTATTGGCTTTTATGAGTTGTCAATGACGATATGCTTATTAAATGGACACTTGAATAAATTAGAAATTGTATCGTAGCAAAGTATAGCCTCACGAATAATTAATCGATATCGATATATTTGATGGTGGACATCACTATTATCGATAACTCAAAGAGCATGTTTACTTCACTAGGTTCTGTCATATACCAAACTAGGCAACCTAACAGAAGCAATTTTATAATATTCAAACGTTGGCAATACATTTATGATAAACTCATACATTTTTTTTTTATTAAAATAAATTGTAACGCTGTGGGGTTTAATTTTTTCCATTATGGTATAATAAGTAAACAAAGTGCGATGAGTGATATTAGGTGCGCTCCGACAAAGGCAAAGAAATGGAATATCGTTTTTTTTTAAGGAAATGATTACATGACAATTGAGAATATAAAGAAGAATGTAAGTTTTCCAGCGGAGACTTTTATGATGAAGTGATGACTGTCTGGTGGGCGGGGTGGCCTGCGATTTGATACAGTTGGTCCCGCCCATGCAGTGCAGTCAACACAAGAATGAATGATGAGGATGACGTAAATGGGTAATGAGGGTGAAAAGCCGTGACAAGAAAGGGGCTGGTTGTGTCGTAGTCCCAGCAGCCACCCTTATCTCAGCGATGGCACGTGCTGATTGGCTCTGTTAAAAAATGGGGATGAGATGTATCTTAAAACTAGTCTTAAGAATAGGTATAACATTAACAAGTAGAAAAGGAGTATAAAAGACGGAAAAGTAAGTATGTAATTGATATATATATATATATATATATATATATATATATTTTTTTTCTAATACTTTATTAAATGTGTATATATATCTTTTTTTTCCCTTAATTCTAGGGTACAGAAATAAGTAATAATGAGATGACATCTTAAAACTAGTCTTAATAATAGGTATGAGATTAAAAAGTAAAAAAGACGGAATATAACTGACGGAAAACAACGATGTAATTGTTAACAATGATTTTATTTTTTTATTTATTTTTTTCCCCTCTTTTTTTTTTATTTTTTTTCCCCCTAATCCTAGGGCACAGTAACAAGTAGTAACTCATACATTTTGCTTTTCTTTTTTTTTGTATGGAGCGCCGTCTCTTCTCCGTAGGGTTTACACTTTACATTCTCTTTGGCGGGGCGCCTCGCGAAGTGAGAACGTGTCGGGAGTTAGTGCGACATAAATGTAAGTTATGACAAACTATGTCAATTTTATTGGTAGAACAATGACGCAATTGACAATTATGTCATTATGTCAATAAAATTGCATTAAATCGTTTGATTATATGACACAATTGCCAAATGCGTTCCTGTTCTGACAAATAACATATAAAAAGGTAGGTACATAATTATTTTCAAGTACATACTTATTTTAAATATGTATAAGTATATTATGTTATTTGATATTCTTATTGACTCGCATATTGAAAATACTGATAAATTACTTAATATTAAACTATGATTAACGTATTATCATTAATACGTTAATTATACTTTCTTTTTGATCATACCTACATGATAAATGCTATTCTATGTATTCAATTTTTATGTTTTTTTTTTGTTAGCAAGTAGATTCTAAAAGTTTTGTGGTACTTTATTTATTTAATAAAAATGGTGTTGTTTTAGGCCATAAATATAAATATGTCTAGGCCAAAAAGAATCGAGCAGATGGTAAAGTTGGGTAAAGACGGACATGTACCTCAACCTTTTTCTCATAACATCCAGACAGAATTGATAGCAATGAATAATCCTATAAAATTGAAACGTAAGACTATTATTTTCTTCCTTTTTAATTTTCCTACAAATGACCCAGTTCTCAGAAAAGTCTGTGTTTTAGCTGAAATTGAAGTTCAAAGTGGAACTCAGAAAAGGAATCTGTCGTCATCATCGTCTTCATCTTCTAGTAGTTCGTCATCATCTTCCAGCAGCTCTTCATCATCTTCGAGCATTTCGTCGTCAACTTTAACATGTACAAGTGGCACTCCACGGAATACATCACCAAAAGAAGGTAGATATATTTTAAAATTACTTTCATTAGAGAGTTGTAGTACCTATATTTATTCGTTTTAAAATACAGTATAATGTTTTAGCATTACTTCAAAAACCCGACACCATTATCGATACCTTGAGAGGAGCTTAAGACAGTGACTACAATGATATAGGAATGAATTTCCCAATAATTATCGATGCAGACAACATGATTGAATCTAATAAGCAAAAATGTATGGAATGGGGTAAGATTTTTACCAAACCAGCAAACCCGGCTCGCTTCGCTGGGCGTAAGTTAAAATAAATTAAAATAAATTAAACAGTTTTTATATTTTTCTAAAAACAAATAATAAAAGTAGCCTAATTTACTCCTTATAACTACTTGTACTTGTGTAATCATTTAATAAATAATTTTAATATACAATTAGTAATTGGAAAGTTTTAGCTGAAAACATAAGTTGTAATAATATAACTGATAAAGCATCTACCTCCGTCGATATATTGAGAAGAGCTAAAGACTGTGATTACAATGCTTTGGTTATGACATTACCAATATTTGTTGATGCATACAACTCTACTCAATCTGAGAATCAAAACACATTTGAAGATGGCAAGGATTAATATAGGTAGGGGGACGATGGGGGAATTGCGGACGCGGGGTAAATACGGACTAACATATATCTACTCTATACCTGCCGCCCGCGTCCCGCCGCCGCGATCACGCGTTACGTTCCGCCATCTTGAGTGCCCACTAAACATTCCCGACAGACGGCTGCGCACACGTTTCAAGGTAATTAAAATTTTACATTTTTTGTGATTTTGATGTAATTTTTGGTATAAAGTATTTTGAGTGTTATTCAAAAAGAATAAGTGTCAGTAAGAATGTCATATTTTCTGTCGATTGCGATGTTAATGACGAGTAAATAGTACAACCGTTTGTCTTGGTAAATTTTGTTAACCTAAAAATTTTGTTGTTGTACTTTTTCGAACTCGTTTGGGTCAATTGCGGACAAATGGCCTGGGGTAAATACGGACGTCCGTAATTACCCCATTATTTATCAAAACCTATTATTTTTATATAAATTTATATTCTTTTTTGTAATTAACCTATTATATATCAAAACCTATAGAAATAATTCTATATTCCAGATGCCTCGAAAATATATAAAGAAAAAACTACCTACTTACACCATTGAAACTTTACAAAGAGCTGTGCAAGAAATTAAAGACAAAAAGACTCCTTTTCGACAGGTGGCAGAGAAGTATGGCATTCCCAGAGCGACGCTTTTTGATCAAGTGAAAAAAGCCTGTATTAGTACCATGCCAAAAAGAGGAAAGAAATCAGTTTTTAATGAATCTCAAGAAAATGAACTGGTCGAATTTATTTTAAAATGTTGTAAAGCCTTCTTTGGGATAACAATTCCTACCTTAAGAAAAATAGCCTTTGATTTTGCCGCTGCTAATAACATAGCAAATGACTTCAATAAAGATACCAAAATGGCAGGTATAGATTGGTATTACAATTTTATGGCGAGACACCCCAATATATCACTTCGCAGACCAGAAGCTACTTCAATAAATAGAATCACAGCATTTAATCAAGAAGAAATAGATATATTTTTTGAAAATTTAAAAACACTCATGGTAAAATACCAATTTAAGTCAAATTCAATCTACAATGTTGATGAAACGGGGATTAGTACTGTACAACGAAATTCCAGGATTCTCGCACCGAAAGGTTTAAGACAAGTAGGTAAATGTACTAGCGCAGAACGTGGTTCCTTGACCACAGTTATAAATTGTTTCAATGCTGGAGGCACATACATTCCCCCATTTTTTATATTTAAAAGAAAGCGGATGAATGCACTGCTTATGAAGGACAGTAACAGTAACATGGTAGCTTGTGTTTCTGACTCAGGCTGGATAACTGAATCAATTTTCGTTGATTGGCTTCAGCATTTCAAAGCATTTGCGAAACCATCTGCAGATGAACCTATTTTGCTTATACTGGACAACCATGAAAGGCACATTAGTTTGAGAGCTCATGAATTTTGTCGCAAGAATTTTATACATGTTTTAACTTTGCCTCCTCACACATCCCATAAAATGCAGCCTTTAGATTTAACTTTCCATGGCCCACTAAAAACAGCATATAACAGGGAATGTGAATCCTTCATGGTCAACCATCCAGGAACCAAAATTACGGCATATGATGTTGTAGGCCTTTATACAAAGGCTTTTAATAGAACGACAAGTATTGATAAAGCTATGAATGGCTTTAGGTCTGCTGGAATTTGTCCAATGGATCGAGATAAATTTAAAAACACTTTTGAAAGTTTTGGTGATATGTTTTCATCAGTCCCTCCTCTTGAACAACGGATAAAAACAAATACCAACAATTCAAGCCAAAATGAGTCCCAGAATGAATCTCATGTTGTCTGTGATGCTGCCAATCAAAATATTTCTAATCCAATAGAATTTCAGGAAATATTTCAACTTTCCAATAATGATGCCAACCTTGACGATTTAAACGAAACAATACCTACGTCTGCATTAGTGGATGATGTTAGTGAAGCTGGTGTTAATCAAAGTATAACAAGTCAAACTTGTCCATCTGCCTTAGTACCACTTAGTGATATAGTGCAAGTTCCAACTATAAAACCTACTCGTACAAAACGATTAGTTAAAAAGAAACACTCCATTATTTTCACCAGCACACAGGAAAAAGTAAACCTAGAGCAAAAAGAACAAAAGAAAATAGAAAGAAAGAGAAAGAACCTAGAACAAAAGAAGACCAAAACTACAAATAAGAGACCAAAACTGACTAAAGAAAAACGACCAAAAGATTTAAGAAACTTAAAAAAAATTGAATGTGATAAAGAAAATGATGAATATTTCTGCATTTATTGCCAGGAAAAGTATTTTGACCCACCCACCGAAGACTGGATTATGTGTTTAAAATGCAAGAATTGGGCACATGAAAATTGCAGTGCTGGGTCTTCTTCAAGAGGCTACGTTTGCGAATTCTGCAAATGAAATTGGAGCTCGTCCGTAAATACCCCATGTTGTCCGCAATTAACCCAGCACTGGTCCGTATTTACCCCAAGAGCTAAGGGTAATTACGGACATATATGTTTTTGTTTTTGATTAAAATTTAATAAATGTTGATGGATCTCATTTAATAATTATTGTTGATTTAATAGGTAAATAGCTATAGTTTAATAATTAATAAAGACAGACTGATTATTATTAATAGTTTGAATTTTATTTTTGATTCCGCTTAAGCGTCCGCAATTCCCCCACCTTCCCCTATTGAAAGTTATCAAAAACTAATGTTATTCGTTAATAATTACTAATTACAATTTCTTTTAGATACGACTTGTGATAATAATGCATGTTCACCTTCCCTACTAAAGAACGTTGATAATCTGGATGAAATCTGTATGAATATACCAACTGTTTCGCCACTTACGGACTTAGGTAGTTTTCTTGACATTAAATCCTATGCCGGTATGTGCATATTTTTATAAGTACAAATAAAGTAAATATTTGAATTTTTATTTATTATAGTGGTTATTTATTTTAGACAAAGAAAATAATCCTCCCAATTCCGAGAATGGGCATTCTGTTGGTAAGGACTTTTCGCCCGATGATAGTAGTGATGAATATCTGCCACCTCAACAACGTGGTACCAGAAACGTTAATTTGTCTTCGTCTTCATCTAATTTAGAACTGAAACATTCGCCAACACCAAAAAAAGGTAAAAAACGAAATAAAAACCCACAGATATGGAAGAAGAATATATCAAAACAACTGAAAAATTCTGGAAAAGAATACATTTCCCACACCGGAAAAAAGATTGCAAGTAAACTAATAAGACCACCATGCGACTGTAGATTACAATGTAGGAACAAGTTTTCAGAGGATCAAAGAAAGGAGATATTTAAAAGTTATTGGAATTTGGCATCTCTTCAAAGACAGAGAGATTTTTTATGCGCGTGTATAGAACCTATAAATATTTCATGTCGTCGTATAAAGAACCTAGACAAACCTAGAACACCTAATTGCTCATTTTCATTATTAATAACGGTCAATGTTTTAAAGTATGCAAAAATTTTTTGTTAAACACTCGGGATTACTGAGAGAACACTAAGAACTGTAATCGAGACCAGAAATTATAATGCTGGTATGGCCCCTAAAGATAACAGAGGTAAACATGGGAATCATAAAAAAACAGATCCAGAACTTGTACAATCTGTTAAAGACCATATTAATTCAGTGCCACGGATTGAATCGCATTATTTAAGAGCTAACACGTCTAGAGAATTTATAGATGGTGGTCTAACAATTGCTGAATTACATCGTAATTACAAGACACAACGTTCTTCTCTACAAAAAGAAGCAGTAACTTACGACGTCTATTTTTAAAACTGATTTTAATATATCTTTTTTTTACCAAAGAAAGATCAGTGCGATCTGTGTGAAGCTTTTAAAAATGCCGTAGGTGAAGACAAAGACAAGTTGCTCCTAGAATATGAGTTACATCAAAGAGAAAAACAATTAAGTCGTAATGAAAAATCCAAAGATATAGAGACCTGTAACGAAGCCAACAGTAATACCCTAGTTGCTATTTATGATTTTCAGGCAGTAATGCCAGTACCAATAGGTGAATCGTCTGCTTTCTACTACAAGTCAAAACACAACTGCTTAAATTTTACTGTAAGTTATTATTAAAGTCTTAAATTTAATTTCATTATTTACAGTTATCTTAATTATTATAAATGGCATTATTACTTTTATATTTCAGATATCTGATTTAAAGAATAAAACAACTGATTGTTATTTTTGGCATGAGGGATTGGGCAATCGTGGTGCAATTGAAATAGGTTCATGTGTTTTTAAATTTTTAGAAAAGATTGCCCTTGAAAGTCCCAACAATTAATATTATATTCTATTCTGATAATTGCTGTGGTCAGCAAAAGGATAGGTAGGTTTTAAGTGCACGGAATTAATTCTGATATCAACATTAGTCAATTAATCGATATTTGAACGTTTATTTTTTTTTTAGATACTTACTAAGCATGTATGCGTATGCAGTAAGAACATTGGCAATTAATTCAATTACCTATAAGTTTTTAGTGAGAGGTCATACCCAAAATGAAGGAGACAACGTTCACTCCATTATTGAAAAGACCATTAAAAATGCCAAAAAGTCAGGCCCCATATACGTTCCCGATCAATATATTCAATAAATAAGAAAAGCTAAAAGAAAAGGCAAACCTTACGTCGTCCATGTATTGAATTTTTCAGATTTTATTGATTGGAAGGATTTAACTGATTAATTTTCTATCAATTTCAACAAAAATCTTATTGGAGATATTGTCAAGTTGTCGGACATTCGACTTATTAAATTTATTAAGGGATCTGATGTTTATTTATACAAGACATCATACGACGACACAGCAGAATGGATTCAATGTGTGTATGAACATAGGATCTAAAAGACGTCCTAGACGAAATTTACCTACCGAAATTCGCCTGAAAAACGCATATAGTGCTAAACTTTGTATTTCAGATCGTAAAAAGCTGATTTGTCGCGTTTAATAAATACTAATATCATACCAAAATATTATGAGGCTTTTTATAATTCTATTTTGTAATAAGTTTAATTTTGAGTTAAATGTCTATTTTCTTGTTTAATTATTTTTTAAGCAATTGTGATATTATTTTAAGTTCCTACTTGATTTTATGCTTTTTTAAATTACATAAATATAAGCAGGTTTATAAATATAAAACTGCGTTGATTATTTTGTTGTTTAAATTCATGTTTTATTCCCATTTCATAACATAGTTTATGTCATAATGTTGAGATTTTCAAGAGTTCGCTGTGGCCTGTGAGCGTAATTTATTATGAAGAAAATGAGCATAAAAACACTTTAACTTATTTATTAATATTTATTAATATTGAAGTTTATATATTTATCAATAGTTCCGATTTTCTAGGTATTCCTGGGAACGTGTGATCGACGATACCGATTATGAACCGTGAACGAAACAACCGTGAAAGAGGTGGCTTTGGCCGCCAATCGTATAATTACTACCGGGCAGAACGTCCCCCCGTTGAGTTTAGTGAGGAAGACAAGCAGAAGAGCACCAACAACCGGAATAAGGGCAACAAATTAAGCAATCGCGATAAACAACGTGCTGAAGCATACCGCGAGCGTAAGAACGCCGCCACAATGGACGCTATAGCTGAAGATTTCAACAAGATTTTGCATCTAGGTTTTGCTAGCCTCGCGAATGCCGTGAAAGACCTCAGTATCACGCAACGTACAGCAAAGATCGTTCCAGTTTCTACTCATGCAGTGGGAATTATAGTGCGTGACAACATCCTTAGATCTGAGAGTGAATTGCAAGGCCGTGGTCAGCCATTGAATTATAAACGACACGCTTTCTACAGAGTGGCACTTGCCATGGTCGAAACTAAGTTATATACGCAATTCAAAATGCGAACTGCCCTTCCCTATTCGTCGTTTGGCTTTGGGGAGATAAACCTACCTGCTGATCTTCGTGACAGGTGCTTGGGAGTTAAGACCCACTTTCTTGGGTTCGTTAACTACTTAAACTCAATCGGAAATTTAACAGTGGGAGATACGCCGCATTACGTAGGAGTCCCAATTGCCCAGACTCCGTTTACTATCACACTTGGAAATCTGCGAACTGCCGTCGACGCAGCTTTTAACGGTCCCCCGGAAGTCCGGGTAAATTTATATGCGCACAATCCCTTCCCCTTTGCAGTTTGGGGGTTTGATAACGAGGAGAATCCCGTTTTAGCGAACGCAGCGAACATAATGCCAGCTGGCTATGCGATGAATGAATTTCTACAAGATGTGGAAGTTTGCCAGCAATACTTCGAATTGGTAAACCGAAAATACCCAAAACGTGTGTCAGCTGCAGTCAATTATGAGTTAGAGGGACACAAATCTATTTTGGTATCATGTCAGGGTGATATCAGATGTGCCGACCATGTTGAAGACGGTGTCCACACCCGTCCGTACATTGAAGGAGATGTGAAGGAATTCTGGCCATCCGAGCCTTCCACTTCCGACCAAGACTTTTACTATTCCAGCTTGACGATGGTCGGACGCGTCCCTGAGGAAGACGCTCACGTTGATGGCTTCGCCGTCAGAAGTCCTGTGGGAGCGGTGAAGTCAGGCTATCTTAGTGCACGAACAAATATGAGCGTACACTATTAGTCTCAGTGTGATATAGTGCGGAACTAAAATATACACTCAAAATTTCAGAACAAAACGTGTAACATCCCCACGTTCCGAGTCCCCCCCAACGTGCGTTCACCTTGTCGTGGTCGGGGGGCTCAGTAGTGCCCGGCAATCCAACCGGGCGCGAAGCTAAGAAACGCACAGGGAGGGTGCCCACTTCGGTGGGCGGTGGGAGGTGGCCCTCTTCGGGGGGGGGGGGCGGTGTACCATGCGGGTTGCTCCTGGTACTTCTCTGATAGCAGAGTGGACTGTGGAGCAACCCCATGGTTGTGGTGGTCTGCTTCGGCAGACCTGCCGTCGGGGCGTCGTAGTTGAATGCGTAAGCGATCCTGCGACGCCCCATTAAGACGGGGGAAGGTTTTGTTGGGTTTTAGTGGGTCGTACTGGCTGTATTACGCCGGTGAGTCCCACACGTCGTGCGTAAATGCATTTCCCAACGTTAAAAAAAAAAAAAATTATCAATAGTTACACTGTTAACATTATGGCTGCATGACAAGGAAGAAGCCAAAGAGAATCATAGACAATAGAACATTATAATATTATGCGGGATAAACACATTCTAACACTTCCCCTTATGCCATATAATATTATATCTAACATAATAATTGTGCAAAAAAAAAAACAAAATGCATACAAGAATAATATGTTAAATACATCAATACTAAATACTCTACCATGTAGAAATCGTAAGTGTCGCTTCACATTAACACAATGCAAGTCATTATTCATATAAAGAATACAAAAAAAAATACTATATAGAAATAGTAGGTAACACTCTTACATTCATATTCTCAATGAAGCTACAATGTTTCTGTACACACAAAGGTTTTGTCAATACATCAGCTATCATCTTGTCTGTAGGTAGGTACTTTACTGAAATAGAGTCATTCTTAATTAGATCTTTTACAAAATGATATCTGATATCAATGTGCTTCGTCCTTTTGTGACAATATTCCTTACATTCCAATAGTTTTTGAGCACTTTGATTGTCATTAAATACAATGCAATGAATATTTCTATTTACTATTTCAGAAAGCAAATTCTTTATAAAGCAAATGTCTTTACAAACATCACCTATAGCTAGGTATTCTGCTTCTGTACTCGACAGTGCGACACAGCGTTGTTTTCGAGATTCCCAGTTTATGGTATTACTTCCCAGCTTTACGACATACCCAGTATAAGACTTTTGGTCATTTACATCATTACCCCAATCGGCATCGGTATATGCCATTAAATCCCAATTAACACTTTTTATATAACATAAAGAGTAGTTAATTGTACCAGCTAAATACCTTAGTATACGTTTCGCCGCAATCCAATGGGATCTGTCGAAACTGTTATTGAACTGGCTCAACTGACTACAAGCAAACGTTATATCTGGTCTAGTACATACAGATAGATACATAAGTCCGCCTAACAGTTGCCTATAGTCATAGGTTTCATCCTGTATACAAGCACTTTTATCTTTTGGTACAGTTAGTTTTGAATTTAAAGCCATAGGTGTAGCAATAGGTTTACAATTTTTCATATTAAAACGTGTTAACAATTTTTTAATATACCCAGTCTGATCTAAACATAAAGTTCCTTTAGACATGTCTCTAGTGACTCTCATGCCTAAACAATTTTTCAATGGACCTAAGTTTTTAACATTAAACTCTTTCTCTAAAATAGTGACTAATTGTTTCTTTATAATACTATTTTTAGAATAAAAAACATAAAAATCGTCCACATATAAGGCAATTATTACAGATTCATTTTGTGATCTTTTTGTATAAATACATGGTTCACATAGAGACTGTTTGAAACCATTATTAACTAGTACATCATTTACCTTTTTATTCCACATTTTACTCGCTTATTTCAAGCCATAAATACACTTTTGCAAGAGACAAACCTTATCCTTATTTTTATTATCAGAAAACCCTTCAGGTTGCTCCATATAAATAGTCTCATTAAGGTCGCTATTTAAAAATGCTGTATTCACATCAATATGATCTATATTCAAATCATATTCATTTGCAAAAGAAAATAAAATTCTCATAGATGAATGGCGAACAACAGGGGAAAAAGTTTCATTATAATCTATTCCCTGCTTTTGAGTAAAACCTTTGGCTACTAGCCTCGCCTTAAACCTATCAAATTTTCCATTTGCATCATGCTTTATCTTATACACACACTTACATTTAATGACATTTCTGTTAGTAGGTCTATCTACCAATCTCCATACCTGATTTGAAACTAGGGAGTCATGTTCAATTTGCATTGCGGTCATCCAATCATCACGATATGGCGATACAATGGCATCTTCATATGACTTTGGTTCCTCAAATATGGTATGCTGAGTTAACATTGAATAATCATAATCTCCGTACCTTTGTGGTGGACGTCGCTCACGAACAGAGCGACCAGACAAACCCATTGCAGCATCACTGCCCGGTTGAACAGCTTCCCCTCCATGTGGCGCGTAGCTAGGTGGTGAGAGACGCTCATCACGTCCACCATCGGCACCGTCGCCCCAAGAGACGGGTTCACTCTCACTCAGTGTCTGGTTGTCATCGCCATCGACTCCGTCTGAAACATTGGTTGAAACATTGTCATTTTTACTATTATCAGAACATTCCACATTAGTATTGCAATTATCAATTGACATTATATTATCATTAGAAGAATTGTCATTTAAGATAAAATAATGATTATTATTATTCAAATTATTACAATTATTAGGTCCATTATTATAATAAAACTTATTCTCTATAAAAGCCACACTACGGGACAATATCACAGTATTAGGACTAGATGGCTCGCTTAAACGATAGCCTTTAGTTACCTCACTATAGCCAACAAAGATTGCTAATTTTCCTTTAGCATCTAACTTGCGGCGTTTCTGTGATGGATTCAGACAGTATGCAACACAGCCAAATACCCGGAGATGACTGAGGTCTACCTTAGACCCCGTCCATACCTCCTGAGGCATACGTCCTGCTAAAGCAGTAGTAGGGGACCTATTTTTCAAATATATAGCAGTCATAACTGCCTCTCCCCAATAACGCCAACAGAGACCTGACTCAACTAGCATACATCTGACCTTGTCAAACAAAACATTTGATAACGATAATGGTCTTACCCGCTGTTTAAATCTTAAATCAACTTGCCCTTGCCCTTCACTTTTTATTTGTTCATTATTTGCAATAGTAATAGCCTGATCATCTGGCACAAAATTGCATAAAAGTCTTTTATTATTTACCATATGGCTACTAGCGCCACTGTCAAGCACAAACACTTGTGAAGGCAAACGGGCAACGAACGCTGAGGCTAGACTAATTGTCTCTATGCTAGCAGGCCTTGAACTCTTCATTTTCTTCAATTTGAAACACTGAGATTTTCTGTGATTCCTCTTCTTGCAAAATTCACAGAATAAAGGTGCTTTTTTCCTCGTTATGTAAGCAGCAGTGTCTCCCAATGAAGTCTTCCTCGAATATTCCTGAAGCAGGCGAGCTTTGACAAGTTCACTTGTTATTTGATTTGTCACTGTTGCTGTTGAGAGTCCTGATACAAGAGTGTCATATTCTGATGGTAATCCACTAAGAAGAATTTCAGCAATCTCTGCATCTTCTATTGTTCTTCCAATGTCATGGAGTTGCTGAACTAGTGTGGTGACGTTTGCAATATATGCATTCATAGAACTGTAAGCGGTGAACTCAACACGATGCAACTTCCTTAACAGCAAAACACGTCTATATAAGCCCCTGTCTTCAAATACCTCGGCGAGATTTTTCCAAGCTGCAGCAGCCGATGTCGCGTTTCGTACATATTGATATAATTCTTTCTTTACTGATAAACAGATACGCGCAAGCGCGCGCTGTTGGCGTACCACGTCGTCATCACTTCCCTCTATGACGTCCCACAATCCTTCAAGTATTAAAATATTCTTGATGGAAAATTTCCAAGTATGAAAATTGGATGAACCTTCCAATTTTTCAAAGTTCGCCGTGTACGATGTCGCGTGACTCGAAATCAATGGCGATGAATCCATTTTAATAAGAGTGATGCTCTTAAGTTATTTAGCCTTCCGAACACAGAATGTTTTGTATTGATGTGATCTTAATTTTCTTGAATGTATTTTAACGAAAAAACGGTTTATTCTTGATAGATTAGCTCACTTCAATATTGCTTAATTATTATGCTCAAAATGGCTTCTTGATATGCTGGGTCCATAACCTGTTGAGATTTTCAAGAGTTCGCTGTGGCCTGTGAGCGTAATTTATTATGAAGAAAATGAGCATAAAAACACTTTAACTTATTTATTAATATTTATTAATATTGAAGTTTATATATTTATCAATAGTTACACTGTTAACATTATGGCTGCATGACAAGGAAGAAGCCAAAGAGAATCATAGACAATAGAACATTATAATATTATGCGGGATACACACATTCTAACACATAATTGTTAAATTTCATTTATAAAATGGCATAAGTGTATGTCAGGTTTGTTATAATTGGTGTTTTTAATAATTTTCTTGAGTTTTCTAAGGAAGTTATTATTGAAACGCAGTTACACTTTTTCTACGAGTGACATTTATTACTTGTATTTTTAAGACGGCCAATATACATTAAAAACTTATTTTGATAAAAAATAACACACTCCCTTTATCAAAATAATCTAAAATTTAAAAATAAAACAAAATAACCCAAAAATGCAATGAAGTATACATATAACACCTAAACAATCTAAAAACTTAGCATGTTTAGCTGAATTTAAACATTTTGTCAAAATATCTGCTGGCATATTTGACGTTTCTAAATAAATAATTTTAATAATATTATTTGAGATTCTGTCATCGCGTTTGACGTGATCAACACACAATTTTGAGCCTCTCTGATTTGAATTATTTTATAATTGTGGAAATAGTAGTTATAAATAATTAGTTGTGGGTCATACACAAAAATTGAAAAAAAAAGTGTTCACTCGTTGTAAAATCTATTTATTCGAAACAATGCAAGCTTGAGTTGACTTTATTATTTGAAGCTCCTAATTATATATTATTTTATGCAAAAAATAAGTGATTTTTATTGCGTTAAATTTATAATTATTCATTGTTTAATAGAAAATGTCTCCTTCTGTAGACTGTTCGGATACGGAGTACTGGATTTTAAGGGGCAATTTAAAATATTTATCATTACATTATTTCATTAATAGTCTAAGCACAGTATTCTTCATTTAGTAATAATAAAAAAAAACATGAACTACAGTAATACATTACTGAAATAAATTAAATAAACATAGTGTTCTTAATTTCATGATCATTCCTGTAGACGCAAAAAACTAACCGAAAATCTGCGTTTAGAGAAACGTATCTGGGTTTTTATTTTTTAACTTGGCAACATTGTTATATCTGTCACTCATTGCTTGGAAGTCTTGTAACGGCGCGTGCTTATTATTATAAAATCATATTTTTAAAAAAGTACACAAGTTTTTGTAAAACCTCGGTGTGTCTTTCCTTGGAGACGTGCTTAAAAGTAAGTACGTTGAGTAAAAATGTTTAATTATAGTGGCCTTGTATATTTTGGGGAGCAGTACGCAAATGCTAAGTTGTTAAATTTCTAACCTCAAAATTCTTCGTTGTATCGTTTATTAACAACATGTATGTCCCTTCTGTAGAAATCTTTTCTGTAGACATACTTGTCTTCAGAAGAGTCAATGTCTACACAAGGGATGTTTATCTTTTCTATAGACACATGCGTCCCTTCTGTGATACTAATTCTTCTATACATAAGCACACGGTTAAATAGTAAATGGTAGATTTTTGACATTTATTAATATTTATTTACATCTATTAGATTCGAAACATCTTCTATCAAAATTTTATAGATTTTTTTATTGTTTGATTTTGGATGATTCTTATAATCCGTTTATTTTCAGTAGAAATATTTATTGCTTTATATTTATGTATTGGTATATATATTTTTATAGTCTATTTAATCATTCATTGATCCCTTCTACCATTTGTTAATTTAATCATTTTAATCGCACCTACGTATTCCGCCTATTAGCTTTCTCAGGCATCAACTAAAACCTTTGGGAGCATGTATGAAATTGAATTTATTTTGTTTTAGGATATCAAGAAGAAGTAGGTCGACTGCGCAACTATCTGAAGAAGAAAAGATAAAACGAAGGCGTGAACAGAAAAAAATAGCATTCGATTTAGAAGAAAGAAGGAGAAAAGATAAAGAAATATATCAGAGGAAAAAGGAACAAGGACTTATTAAAACGATAAAAAACTTCACTCCTAGGAAACAGAGACAAATGAGAAAACTGTGGAGAGAAAAAGCAAAAAAGAAACGTGAAAAGGAAAAAAAATAACAAAACTACACGTAATTTTATGGAAACAAATACTCCACCATCAACTCCTACCGGATCACGTGCAAGCAGTGGTAGAGCAGTAGCAAAACGTAATAGAAAACTACTTAAGACTGAAAATATTTACCTGAAAAAAAGGATTTGCGAGTTAGAGTCTAAGTTATCGAAACATAGAATGCGAATTATTAGAAAGTTACTCAAATGAAAAAGACAAGAAGAAACCAAAAAAAGTTACCACTAAGTCAGTTCTAAAAAAAGGAAAGCAGTTTGTGAATTTTTATTGCAAGACGAAAATAGTAGATCAACATCAGGAAAAAAAGATACGATAACGCGCAAAAAAGTAAAAAAACAAGTACATTTTTTGAACGATTCACTCTTAAACTTACATAAAAAATTTATAAAGGAAACTGGCATGCGAATATCTTACGAAACGTTTCGCAGATACCGGCCGTTTTGGGTTCTATTTCCAAAAGCTGAAACTAGAAATACTTGTTTATGTGTTATACACACTAATACAAACTTTCTAGTTCAAGCTCTTTATCATGCAAAAATAATTCCTTTTAAATCGGCAACTGATTTGATTAAGTCCTTATGCTGTAACAATATTTTAAATGTCCCTTGTTTAGAACGCAAATGTACTTTATGTAAGAATAAAGATATTACTTCTACTAATTTTTATGATCATGACTCCGTTACGTATGAAAGGTGGGTCACTAAAGATGTCACTGTTGTAATTAAAGGTAACCCTAGACAATGTAAAAAAACCGTTAAAGAAAAGGTCCAAACAACCAACAGAATTCTATTTAATAAGTTAAATTCAGCTTTACCTTTATTTATGAAACATGTCGCATGCATGATACATCAAATAAAGGCTATCCAGTTTGTAAAAAAGAATATTTCTCCTATTGATGGTCTACTTCACATTGATTTTGCTGAAAATTACAATTGTAAATATAAAGAAGAAGTTCAATCTGCTCATTTTGGTGGTTCGAAAATACAACTATCTCTACATACATCTGTTTATTATAGTACTCAATTAGAACCTCCAAATAATTTTATAAGAACAACATCTTTTTGTACTATTTCTGACAATCTCAGACATGACCCTGTCTTAATTTGTGTTCATTTGCAAGCTATAATAACAAAAATAAAGGAGTTGTCTCCCAGTTTAAAACATTTACATATATTAAGTGATGGCCCATCAACTCAATATCGTAACAAGTCTTTATTCAATTTGATCGCTACCTTTATTAGTAAAGAGTTTGGTGTTGACACAATCACATGGCATGACAGTGAAAGGGGGCACGGTAAAGGAGCACCTGATGGCGTAGGCGGGTGTGTTAAACATCTTGCTGATATGCATGTTGCAAAAGGAAACGATGTTTCAAGTCTTGATGAATTGATGTCATATTTATAAGCGAATACAAAACGAATAAATGTTTACAGGATCAATAACTATATAATACCTAAAGTTCAACAAATTTTAGACCAAAGTGTTTTACAAACCTTTAAGGGTACTCGTAACATTCACCAATTAACGTGGAACATTAAAGAACCTTCTGTTATACACGCTAGACGTTTAAGCTGTTTGACTTGTGACCCACACGAGAAATGTCCTCATTATGAACTGGGACAAATAGATGTCAACTGTGAGCATCTCGACACATTAGATGTCCTAGATATTTTAGAAGCTCCAAATACTTCAGATGCTCTTAGTATGCCACAAGCTTCAGGAACCCCAGAAGCCTCAAATAGTCTGGAACTCCCAGGTACCCCAGATGCTTCGACTGTGTCAATTTCACCGGGTTTAAGCGACAGATTGACACCTAAGGAAAACATTGAAGCGAACGTACAAAATGTCAGACCGACTAAAAGAGCTCGATTGATCTGGGCTGAAGATGAAACGGAAGACTCTGATTCCTCCCTGGAAATATTTAACACAAAAAAACCTTTGCCTAAAATTTGTAATGACTCTGGTCTCAATTCTGATGATGACGCTTTATTTTAATTTTAATCTACAGAAAAGACTTCATTTCTGTAGACAATTTTTAAAATATCTTTTACCAGTTCCTAAATATTTTTTTGATTTAAATAATTAAAGAAGTAAGAAACAAAATAAATTGTGATTATTATGAACGCATATTGTATATTGTATAATGAGTGATTTTTTTTGTATAAGACGCTAAAATGCGTATTTTGTTAATTTCTGTAGACAAGTGATCTGATCTGTAGACGTACAATAATAACAAATGTGATTTTTTTCCATAAGTAATGAAAACTGAGCTATGTAAGTATTTTTGTAAGACTGTTAGCGATTACGTTTAAATAAATAAAAAATCACCAAATCAATAACTAAGTTTTACTTTTTATTTTTTTTTAAATTCATTATTTGTGTATGACCCTTGTATATATTAGTTAATGTAAATATTTAAATATTTTAAGTGTATATATAGAAGATATTGTGGGAAGTTTTTAGTGTTAGATTTTTATTTTCAAATTTTCCTTCTATATGTGACAAGCCGAATATGGAAAAAAAACACAATCGGAGCCTCCGGATCCAGGCGAAATTTTTTATATGCCGGAGACAGAACTACTTCCATCCAGTTCTTTTTCTAGAAAACGCTCTGGAGTCCAACAAAATATTGGCTTAAATAAAAAAACGATAATTGATCCTTCGACAGCTAACCCATCTATTCAAACAGTTTATCTGAACCCCGCTTTTAACGAATTAATTAATTCTTATTCTGACTCTGACATCGGACCTTTCATAATCCATGTTGCAAGAGAAGAACCAGACCCATCTGCAGGACTAACTATTCGCGCAATCAAATTTGGTGAATTTCTTTTTAAAAATAAATTTTAAGATATAGCCAAAGATGGAGTCAAAAGTATTGGCCGTAATAAAATTAGTGTCGAATTCTCATCCGCCACATCTGCTAACAAATTTATTCAAAATCCGTTACTTTCGTTACATAAATACAAAGCTTTTATACCTACTTTTAATATCTCTCGCATGGGCCTAGTCCGAGGAATCCCAATAGACTTATCTATGGATGAACTATCTAGGAGCCTGGAGCTTCCTAGTGGTTGTGGCGAAATTCTTAAAGCCTGAAGATTGAATCGCAAACAATTTGTAGATGGATCACCTAACTGGATTCCAACTCAATCTGTCGTGTTAACGTTTAGGGGTCAGATGCTACCAAATAAGGTATACGCGTTTTATTCTTCTCTTAATGTTGAAACTTATAACCTACCTACTATTATGTGTTTGAACTGTTGTCGATTTGGCCATACTAAAAATATATGCCGCTCAAAACCACGATGCTTGAAATGTACCCAATCCCACTCAGGAGAATCGTGTTGTGTTACCAAAGAAGCCGCTCTTTGTATACATTGCAATGGTAACCATTTTGCAGATGACAAGAATTGCCCTGAACTGACAAGACAAAGATTAATTAAAACTACCATGTTGCAAGAAAATATTTCTTTTGCGGAAGCCGCCACTCATTATCCTCTAGTGAGAAGATCTTATGCTGAGGTTGCAAAAGAAATGTTTTCCCTAACAAATCCTTCCACTAGCAACACCGATAACCCTGTCAATTATAGCTCTCCTTCAACTGGTATTCGCTCCTATAAAAAGACAATAGTAAAGATTCCACGTTCCCCTTCTCCCAGAGCTAAGGGATACGATAAACAGACTCACTATAATATCACTTCTCCTTGCTCTTCATCTCTTGATAATGGTTGCGCCATTAATTCTGTCGCATCTGAACCTTCGTCTATTGATCATCTTTTACGCACTTTATTAATTGCCACTAACAACCATTTTTCTTCCAAAAATATTTTACCGGACAACGCTGCTCAAATCTCTGTAATGAATCCATCTTAACCCCTTCCATCAGCTCATCATGGATGTAATAAAAATCCTGCAATGGAATTGCAAAAGCCTTCCAGCTCGTAAATCAGACATAATTCATGTTATTAATAAATTCGAACCTGCTATCCTTGCCATTTCTGAAACCTGGTTAAAGCCTGGAAGCCGTTTTCGTATTCCGGGTTTTTCCTGTTTGAGAGATGACAGGGATGATGGATATGCAGGTAGTGCTATCTTAGTTAATCGTTCATATTCGTTTTCACAAATTTCTATTCCCACTCACAGCCATGACATTAACGTTGTGGCTATCAAATTTCTTAACATATCATTTGCTTCTATTTATATCCCTCATCCTCACCCATCGCTTGCTTCAGAACTCCAGCTCATTTTCTCTTCCCTACCTCGACCAATCATTGTAATGGGTGACTTTAACACCCATCACACTGCTTGGGGTTGTCATTATTGTGATACATTCTCTCACTTGTTGTTGGACATAATTGATAAAGCCAACTTTTGCTTTATTAATGATGGATCTCCAACTAGACGAGTTTATCCAAATCAAAATCCTAAGAGTGCTGTTGATTTATCCCTCTGCTCCCCCAGTTTGGCATCTTGTTTAAACTGGAAGGTCCTTGCTTCATCTTATGGCAGCGACCACTTTCCCATTTTTATGTCATTAAACATGAAATCATCCCCATTCCCAGTGCTAAATCCGCTGTTTCCATATTGTCTCAATAGAGCCAACTGGTCTGGGTTTCGGTCATTTTTTGATTTTCAGTCAACTAATTTTCTAATTGTAGATCCTCAAAATTGTTTGTGTTGTTACGAAGCTTTTGTTAAAATTTTACTTTTGGCAGCCTCTTCGCATATTCCGCTAAAACGCTCAGGTCATAAAAAACTTTTGTCTCCGCCTTGGTGGGACGAAGAATGTACGATAGTTAAAAAAAAAAGAAATCAAGCTGGATACAATTTTGTAAATCTTTACATCCTGGCACCCCAGCGACAATTGTTTGGCAATGCATTAAAAAATTCCGATCCTCCTTTAATGATTTGTTGTATAACATCTCTTCTAATGAGTCATCCTGGCTTCAAAATTTTTGTAGTACACTTGCTCCTCCTTTTGTCACTTTTTCAGACTGTTTTCCCTCTGACATTCCATCTCATTATGATGAAATGGACATTCCCTTCTCTTTTGCTGAATTACAATGTGCTTTAAATGGCCTATCTGATTCTTCTCCAGGTGAAGATGGCATTCCATATTCCTTCTTAATAAAATTAAGTGATTCAGCTAAACAGATCTACCTCTCCATTATAAATTCAATTTTAGAGTTCAAAAATATCCCCCCATCTTGGAAATCCCAAGTCATTATACCAATTTTAAAACCTGGTAAAGATCCCAAAGAATTTTCGTCTTACCGTCCTATAGCTTTATCATCAACGTTCGGCAAAGTTATGGAGCATCTTATTAAGAATAGGCTGGACTGGATAATGGAAAGTAGAGAAATCCTCTCAAAGTCACAATTTGGTTTTCGAAAGGGAATGGGTACAATTGACAGTCTCAGTATTCTTATATCGGAAATACGTCTAAGTTTTTTAAGAGGAGAATACCTCGTGGGGGTTTCTTGGATATTAGCTCTGCTTATGATTGCGTTCTTCTTCCGCTTCTGAAATCTAAAATGCTTTACTTAAATTTACCGCCAAAATTAACTAATTTTATTTTCAATCTTTTTATTGGAAGATCGATTCGAGTGAGATATCAGGGCAAACTTCTTCCCCCTAGATCAATCTGGAAGGGTCTCCCGCAAGGTTCAGTTCTTAGCCCCATTTTGTATAGCTTTTACACTCATGATCTTGATAAATCTGTAGATAGTTACTGTAATATTTTGCAATATGCGGATGGTATTGTTTTATTTTATAGTTCAAGTTCTAACTGAGTCAAATCTGTACATTAAACATTTTTTGGAAAATCTAATTGAAATAGTCTTTTTTATCGGTATAGAGGCTAAATCTATTGTTTTTAGAAGTTTTGTCTGTCTGTCTGTCTGTGACCGCATCACGAGAAAACCACTGGACGGATTTGCGTGAAATTAGGTATAATAATAGCTGGTTACCCGGATTAATACATAGGATATTTATTACTGCTGGAAAATATCTCATTTCTGTGAAATCTCGAGTAACTGTTAAAAACCGACTGTAAATCATCACGCGGTATGTGAAATCTGAGAATTTAGTTTCTGGTCTTTAAAACGCGGGCGGAGCCGTAGGAAATGCTAGTATAACATAAGTAGTATTATGATTAAAGTTTATTTATTGTAAAAAGTTATCGATATTTGCTCGCTGATATCGACACCACTAGTTTTAGTATCACAGACACTCGCTACGTCCGACAGCGCCAAAATGGCGATTATCAAACAGGCACAAAAAAACTTTGACAGCAGCCAGTCCATATTGATAGAGGTCAGTGATTCGGTAGATTTAGTTTTTGTGAACGGCAACCCAGTAGCTTTCCATAGACAACACTAACCAAGCGCAGGGCGCAGGCGCTGCCATTTTGTTTTCGTTCGTCAAAACACCACGCATTTGGAGGATTTCATGTGAGATGCTAAATAAAAATATTTCCTGACGTGATATCGACCCAAAAATTAAGTAATATTATAGTTTAATATATTAGAACACTTGCTGTGTAATAGGATTTTAGTTTGGAAACTTGTTTGAACGAGTTTTGATGCAATTTTAAAATTAAGATTGTCACAAATTTCCTAACAAAATTTCTTGACATTTTCTTGACGTCACGAAATTTTAGATGCGTTTATGAAATAGTAGGTACATGTGCTAGTTCGTTATTAAAAACAAAATTACAGCAAACAACTCTCTTTAACTATCATCAGTTTTATGCTTTGTTAAGGCCGGCTTAATTTGTTTTATTCTGTCGTGTTTTTGCCGCAACAATCTATAATTACTATCACTCTAATATTATAAAGGTGAAAGTTTTGTATATGTATGTTGCTCCTTCACGCTCAAATGGCTAAGCGGATATGGATGACATTTGGTATAGAGATAGATGAGACCCCGTAAAAGGACATTTTGTCCCGGTATTCCCATGGAAACGGCAAAACGCGGGTAAATACCCGGAGCACAGCTATCAGTTAGTAAGGTACATAATAATTATTACTTTTGGTTGTTGCAGCTATATGCCAATGACAGCTGCAGAACGTCAAAAAAAATATATAGAAAAACTGAAACAACAAAATCCAGATAAGTATGAAGAAAAAAGAAAAAAAAAAACACTTAGAGAAAGTAAAAGAACGGCAAAAACAGGTCAAAAAATTAACTGATGAATGAAAGCTTATATCCAGAAAAGAAAATGTTGCCAAAGCTAAACAAGCCAATTCTGCCTATAACCAAAGCATCGAAGAAAATACTCTAAAAGATAACATAGAATTGCGTAAACAGAATACGGTTTTGAAAAATAAGACAATTGACAATTTTAAACGCCAAAAATTGATAATAAATGACGAGCAAGTAAACGATGATGGGGAATATAAATCACAACAACAGAATGAAGCTACACCACTTACTAAAGCGAATATATTTGTTGATGCAACGGTGTCATCGATATTAGAATTAGATAAAAAAAAGCTCTTTGAATTAAATGTACTCTCAGATTCACTTAAAACAGTTTATTCAAGAACAAACACAATTAAAACAAAAAACCCCTTGAAGGCTATCGTTGATAATGCAATTACAAACAAATATAAAATCAAAAATAAAATGCTGGCCACTGCTGGGAAGCAAGAAACTAAATCAAAAAAGAAACAGAAAGAACAAAAACGTCATCTTTTAAATTCGATGCTGAACTTACATAAAAAGTATAGACAAGAAGGTGGAAAACTTTCTTACGCCACTTTTGCGCGTCTTAAACTTTATTATGTTCTAAGGCCAAACATCAAAGACAGAAACACGTGTACTTTGCAGGCCTCTGATATTTATTTTTTTTAAAATAAACATATGTCAATCGGCTGTGATCGTAAACAAAGATTAAACAATATCTAGATCCACCTAGCGATACATTCTCCATCGGGCCACAGTAGTCACTATGCACTACTTCCAACAGCTTAGTGCTCCTATTACCTTCATGAACAAAAGTCAAACGGCTTTGCTTACCTTGACAGCAAATTATGCAATTGGATTTGTTGATGTCGGCCGTCCCAATAAATTTGACACCCTCCACAGCATCCTGCATTTTATTCATATTAAAACTATTTACGTGTCCCAGTCTACGATGCCAAAGTTCTGGTGATTCTGCTACAGCTGCCAACAAACAAGTAGAGATGTTCAATTTGTAAACACCATTCACAAGCAATGCAGTAGCTACTAGAATATCCTCTTTGTTATATATTTCACATCCTTTGCCAGTGAAATGCACCTTGTTGCCCTGCCTTATTAACTGGCTCACTGACAATAAATTGGTAGATAACTCGGGACACACAACACCTTTTCAACAGTTATGTCAAAATTACATTCTTCAGTCGACGTGGTTATGATTACATTTCCACAACACAGTGCTGGGATTTTATTGTGATTAGCAATCATGATTTCTTGTGTGAAACCAGAATAACACGTGTCAATCATGCAATCTTTATTGCAAGTCAAATGCGAACTTGCTCCAGAGTCAACATACCAGTCACTCATTCTCTTATCAAATATTGTGTTAAAAAACACGGCACTAAACGCATTACTTGTTTTTGACGATTTATTTTCTGTATTCTTATTATATTTATCTTTGTTATTATTGCATTGATTACGATAGTGGCCATGTTGTTTACAATTGTAACATTTGACATTTGGTTTTCCTTTGACAGATGTTGACGTTGACACTACTGCTTTTCCGCCATCTTTATGAGCCATAGACTGTGCACTCTTTCCATTCTTTGAACGATGAATCTGATTCTTGCGGAAACATGCGAATGCATTATTGACGTCATTACGGTCACTATCTTCCGGTTCCATGTCCATTAATTTCCCTTTAATGGCGTCGGATGTGATTATAATGCCTGAATGCTCGATGGCCATTATCATGAGCATATATTTTTTACTTAGACCTGCCAGCATGATAGATCCAATCCATTCGTCGGTAATGTCAAATCCCGTACCTTGCAATTTCTGTCCAGCTTCAACAATTTGTGTTACATAGGCCGTCATCGAAGTGCAATTTTCCAATCGAATATAGATATTAAATTCCTCAGGAGACTAATTTTTCTTGTAAATCCGGAGTCATCGAATAACATCTTCAATTTATCCCACAATTCTCTCGATGTTTTAACGTTTTTTATATGAACGTAAAGAGCCGGGTCGATTGTTAGTACCAGCTCGGCTTTAGTTTTCGCGTCATCTGCAGCTACTGGTGGATGACCGGGCTCAGGTTTTATACACCCAACCATTCCTTCCAAAACCAGAAAATTCTCAAGATTTAATCAAGGAATGGTAATTAAACAGACACAAATTATTAAAAAAGTTTTATTAAAATTTAATATGCAAGATTGCAAAGGTATCAGTACACCGATGGAAGTAGGCCTGAATGTTGACGAAAAAGAAGAAATCCTGACCAATATTCCATATAGAGAACTTGTTAGGTCACTTATGTATTTAGCCACAATCAGCAGGCCAGACATTGCATATGCAACAGGTTTTCTGAGTAGATATATGCATTGTCCAACCGCTACATTATGGAAGGCAGGGAAGAGAATTCTGAGATACCTGAAACAGACAAAAGAAAAAGGATTAGTTTGTAAAAAAGAAGATAGTAATTATTTACAAGCTTTTTCAGATGCGGACTGGGCAGGAAACCGTGTGGACCGCAAAAGTGTAAGTGGAACTGCTATCTTTCACCGAGGAAATTTAGTCAGCTGGAGTTCATAAAAAGCAGTCAACTGTTGCACTTTCAACAGCTGAATCGGAGTATGTTGCAGCAGCATTAACTGTAAGTGAAACGGTGTTCATTATTGGAATGTTAAAAGACTTGCAGTGTGATAAAGACTTAAGTTGTTTGCTATTAATTGATAATCAAAGTACTATTAAAATGATTGAAAGTTATGAAAATAGTAAAAGGTCAAAGCACATAGACATAAAGGTACACTTTATTAAAGACATTGTAAATAAATGATTGTTAGTGTTAAAATACATACCTAGTAATGAGAACAAAGGAGATTTACTTGACAAGTCTTTGTCAAAAACAAGACACCATTATTTGTGTAAAATACTTGGTATATACCTTTAAGTTTAAAAGTGATTTAGTTTTAGAATAATTATGTCTTTTGTTACAGTATAAAGTTTGTTTTTGGTTTTGCTAGTTAAAGTATTAATTTAGGTTAGGTATTACGAGTTTGTTTACTTTTGACGTGACATTTCAAGTATGTGTTGCCATGTTATAATTAGTTTGTAGGTTTTGATTGTAACAAGTCCAAGTTTATTTTTTTAAATTTAACAAAGCAATAACAAATAGAACTTGAACTTGAGCCGGGGTGTTGGAAATGTATCTGTGGCAGGTTGACATCTACTGTAAGTGTAGAATGTAAGAATAGACAATTGTCTTCCGGTTCCGTTTTTATGTGGGGTTAGTAAGATATGGCGTCTTTGTTACTGTCTACTTGTACTGAAATAAAGAATACTGAATCATAAATAGAGGTTTTCATTGTGCATCATAAAATTCATTATACTTTAATAGAAAACTGTGGCCAGAGTCGCCCAAAAGAAAAGGAAAGCGAGAAATTGAATGAATGCTTTTTGCAATGACATCAAATTACTACATAAATATAATGAAGGAAAAGAAGGAAAAAAAGTTGAAAGAAATAAAAGAAAAAGAAAATCGTATGCGCTTGAGAGAAGAAAAGATGTTAGTGAAAGTATCCCAGCGAAAAAGGAAGAAAACCGTTAATAAGCAGCAAAAAATTGGAGGTCCTTCTGTTAAGACTGTATCAGCTACAAGTACGCTAGCTAGTACGATGGTCCTTCTTGTAGCAATCAAAGAATGGATGTTAATTCTAATTGTACTGACAACGACGATTTACCACTTTGTGCCGAATGTGCAGGTTATATAAAAAGAAAATTGGTAGATTGCACTGAATGTTTTAAACAATTTCATGAAAACTGTATACCAGATTATTACCGAATACACATTCCTACCGATGAAGGCGATAGTTTTTTGTGTCATAATTGTTACAAAGTAGGCAACTCAGATTCGTCTGAGGCTGACCTACTATATGACGCAATTCGTGAAGAAGCACGTAACCAAGGGTTTTCTCAAACATGTATTATTAATTATGTGCCAAAGCTCAAGTAAACAAGTTCCTATTAATATGTGATATTATTAAGTTTAAGTGTTTTTTTTTGTATTTTTATTAGTAGAAGAAGATATGCTTTTAAGTTTTTGTTGATTTTTTACATTTTACGATTCTATTTTATTATTATTTAAGCCAGATATTGTTCCGGCTAGTAACTAATAGACAATATGCTAGTTATTGATTTTGATGGCTAATAACCGGTCAACTTTCATAAATTTTATTTAAATAAATTTAAAAAATATAAAAACTGTATTTTTATTTCATGAATTATTTTCTTTCAAATAAAGGGTTTATTCCCTAATCAACAAGATCGCAGAAGTATAATTTCAATTACTTATATTTAATCTATAGTGACTTAAACTGGCCAAGGTGCTTAAGTGGCCAGTTCCTCCATGTTTTACCCTATGTCAAAGTCAAAACAGAAAATAATAAAATGTTACAGATGTAAACAAACCGGCCACTATCGTTATCAATAAAACATTTCAACGCAAACAAACAAATGCCTTTAGTGCCGTGTTCCTAAATGGTAATTTTTCAAAGAATTATTGGTATATTGATTCGGGAGCGAGTGCTCACTTAACCGCAAATGAAAATTGGATAAAAAAGGCCTCGACCGAGCATCCTATCAAAGAAATTGTTGTCGCTAACAAGGAAAAGGTGGCTGTTAAGTGCTCAGGCGACGTACAAATTGCTATATTCACAGATGACTGTGAATATGACGTGGTTGTTGAAGATGTTTTGTGTGTTCCGAGCTTGACCACAAATCTCTTATCAGTAAGTCAGTTAATAGCAAGAGGTGTTCACGCGTCTAACGCTCTGGTGGGGCGATAGATCGATCCGCGGGGGGCAGGGTGGACCCTCGGCAGCCGTTACTACTTTTAACACTTCCTTACGAGACGATACGAGCCGGCGCACGCGCACGTTATTTTATATACTATAATTGTAAACGTAATAAACTGATTTGTTGGAAGAAATTTGAAGTTTTCCTTGTTGCCCAAACAAGGAAATTGGTGCCGTGACCAGGATTCGAACCTGGGTTACTACGTCAAAATACCTTTTCACACTTCACCTAAAACATTAGGAGATTCTTTGCATATTGCTAAGCACCGGTTTTATAATTTCGAAAAGAGGTTTAAAAGGCAACCACATATAAGGAAACTTTATGTAGAATTTATTCGTGAATATATGGAATTAGGGCATCTATCTTTATCGAATAGAAGTGACCTTGGATATTATTTACCGCATCACCCGGTGTTACGGGAAAGGAGCGAGACGACAAAGCTTCGTGTTGTATTTGACGCGTCCGCGAAAACTAGTACCGGGCGGTCGTTAAATGATATACAAGGTATAGGTAATGTTATACAAGACGATTTATTTAGTATTTTAATTAGATTTAGACAGCATAGTTTTGTTTTTACGGGGGATATAACTAAAATGTATAGGCAGATTATGGTACATGAAGATGATAGGCAGTGGCAAATGATATTATGGAGGGAAAATGAAAACGAACCATTGATGCATTATGAATTAAATACAGTGACGTATGGGACCGCATCGGCACCTTTTTTAAGCACTCGCTGTTTATTTCAATTAGCCGATGAATGTGATAATAAATGTATAGCGGAGATAATTAAGCATGATTTTTATATAGATGACATTTTAACTGGTAGTGAAAGTGAACATGAATTGCAATACATATGTAAAATAATTACTAAAAAATTAAATGAAGCCGATTTCGAGCTTAGAAAATTTCGTTCAAATACAAATAAATTAATTAGTGAAAATAGTTCGGTAATTAATAAAAATTTATCTGATATATAAAACAGTACCGGCACTTTAGGGCTTATGTGGTCACCTACGTCAGATGTTTTCATCTTTCCTATACATTTTAAAATCAGTGAAAATGTTACAAAACGGCTTATTTTATCTATGATAGCTAAAATATTCGATCCATTGGGTCTTTTAAGTATATTTATAGTAAAGGCAAAAATTATATTACAAGCTATATGGAAATGTAAATCAAATTGGGATGAAATAATTACCGGAGAAATTAAAAAAATGTGGGAACAGTTTACAAAAACTGTTAATTCGCTCTCGTGTGTTAACGTACCCAGGCATGTATTATGTAGAAATGTGGTGTCAGTCGAATTACACTTATTTTCGGACGCATCTCAGTCAGCTTATGGTGCATGTGCTTATGTACGCTCAGTAGATAGTAAGGGACAGATTCATGTAAAATTGTTATGTGCTAAATCTCGAGTATCACCCTTAAAAACCCTCACAATACCACAATTGGAATTGTGTGGGGCTTTACTGTCGGCTGAGATGAGTGCAAAAATAAGAAAGGCACTACGGTGTCAATTGTTACGCTGTATTCATTGGATTGACTCCATGGTTGTCCTTGGATGGCTACGTACTGCCTCTACTCAAAAATTAAACGTTTTTATTGTAAAGAGGGTAAATAAAATAAAGGAATTAAGATCAAATAGTGAATGGAAGTATGTGCCAACTAGGGACAACCCGGCAGATCTAGTATCGCGAGGTGTAGATTCCTTTGATGATAAGCTGGCTAGCTTCTGGTGGGGAGGCCCTACGTTTTTGGCTCGGCACGAGTCTGAGTGGCCAAATGAAAAATATGGTCCTCATATGTTTTGTAATGATAGTAGTAATGTAAATTGTAATGTATTGCACTGTTTGCCAAAAAATGAAATTATTAACTTTTCTAGATATTCAACATTAGGTAAATTAAAGCGTGTATTTGGATATGTTCTTAGATTTATAAATAATTGTAAAAAGTCGAATAGTAGACAAAATTCACTTATATTAACTGTTGAAGAACTGGCTAGTAGTATAATTGCTTTAGTAAAAATGGCTCAGTTAGAATCGTTTTTATTCTGAAATTCAAGTACTTAAAAATAATAAATACAAATAAATTAATTAGTGAAAATAGTTCGGTAATTAATAAAAATTTATCTGATATATAAAACAGTACCGGCACTTTAGGGCTTATGTGGTCACCTACGTCAGATGTTTTCATCTTTCCTATACATTTTAAAATCAGTGAAAATGTTACAAAACGGCTTATTTTATCTATGATAGCTAAAATATTCGATCCATTGGGTCTTTTAAGTATATTTATAGTAAAGGCAAAAATTATATTACAAGCTATATGGAAATGTAAATCAAATTGGGATGAAATAATTACCGGAGAAATTAAAAAAATGTGGGAACAGTTTACAAAAACTGTTAATTCGCTCTCGTGTGTTAACGTACCCAGGCATGTATTATGTAGAAATGTGGTGTCAGTCGAATTACACTTATTTTCGGACGCATCTCAGTCAGCTTATGGTGCATGTGCTTATGTACGCTCAGTAGATAGTAAGGGACAGATTCATGTAAAATTGTTATGTGCTAAATCTCGAGTATCACCCTTAAAAACCCTCACAATACCACGATTGGAATTGTGTGGGGCTTTACTGTCGGCTGAGATGAGTGCAAAAATAAGAAAGGCACTACGGTGTCAATTGTTACGCTGTATTCATTGGATTGACTCCATGGTTGTCCTTGGATGGCTACGTACTGCCTCTACTCAAAAATTAAACGTTTTTATTGTAAAGAGGGTAAATAAAATAAAGGAATTAAGATCAAATAGTGAATGGAAGTATGTGCCAACTAGGGACAACCCGGCAGATCTAGTATCGCGAGGTGTAGATTCCTTTGATGATAAGCTGGCTAGCTTCTGGTGGGGAGGCCCTACGTTTTTGGCTCGGCACGAGTCTGAGTGGCCAAATGAAAAATATGGTCCTCATATGTTTTGTAATGATAGTAGTAATGTAAATTGTAATGTATTGCACTGTTTGCCAAAAAATGAAATTATTAACTTTTCTAGATATTCAACATTAGGTAAATTAAAGCGTGTATTTGGATATGTTCTTAGATTTATAAATAATTGTAAAAAGTCGAATAGTAGACAAAATTCACTTATATTAACTGTTGAAGAACTGGCTAGTAGTATAATTGCTTTAGTAAAAATGGCTCAGTTAGAATCGTTTTTATTCTGAAATTCAAGTACTTAAAAATAATAAATCGTTACCAAAAAGATCAAAAATATTGTCATTAAACCCGTTTATTGATGACGATGGAGTAGTAAGAGTTGGTGGTAGAATTCAAAATTCAAAATTTAATTATAATAAAAAACATCCTATACTTTTAGATTCAAAACATCGTTTGTCCATTCTTATAATTCAAGAAGAACATAAACGCCTTTTGCACGCGGGTCCTCAACTCTTATTAGCTTCAGTTAGAGAAAACTATTGGGTTATTAATGGTAGGAATCTTGCTAGAAGTATTCCACACAAATGTATTATTTGTAGACGTATAGGTAGTAAAACTTTAGAATCGATTATGGGTAATCTGCCAAAACAACGTCTAACTCCGGGTATACCGTTTGAGTCAACAGGCGTTGATTTCGCAGGCCCTTTCTATATAGCAGATAGGAAAGGCCGTGGTTGTAAAATAAGCAAGTGTTATTTATGTATTTTCGTATGTTTTACAACCAAGGCCCTTCACTTAGAAGCTGTTAGTGATTTAAGTACAGCAGTCTTTATATTAACTTTAAAAAGATTTATATCGAGGAGAGGTAAACCCCGTTATATTTTCTGTGATAACGGAAGTAATTTTGTGGGAGCTAAGAATGAATTAGATAAGTTTCTTTTTTATAACCAAAACTCTTTAATGCAGTTTAGTTCTAATGAAGGTATATCATTTCACTTTTCGCCACCCTATGCACCGCATTTCGGGGGTTTGTGGGAGGCAGGCGTAAAGTCATCAAAATTTCACTTGAAAAGAATAATGGGAGAAAGGCATCTTACATATGAAGAATTGGCGACACTTTTCGCACAAATAGAGGCCATTCTTAATTCGCGCCCGCTGTGCCCGTTATCTTCAGATCCGTCAGATTTGAGCCCGCTTACTCCAGGGCATTTCTTGATTGGGAGGCCATTAACTGCAGTACCGTCAGAGAAGCTAACCGATATTAAGATTAGTCGGCTGGATAGATATGCGCAACTATCCCAATTAAAGCAACATTTTTGGGAGCGCTGGAGTAGTGAATACATTGCTGAATTACAACAACGCACAAAATGGCGTCAGCGACATCCTGCATTGAAAATAGGAGATATGGTGGTTCTCAAGGAAGACAACCTGCCACCACTGAAATGGCGTATTGGACGAGTACACGCACTATTCCCTGGCACTGATGGTGTGTCTCGGGTTGCCGACGTGGCCACTGGTAATGGAGTGGTTCGCCGTGCATTGACTCGACTCTGTCCTCTTTGGCTTCCGGAGGATGAAGAAGAGTTGAAGACTCCATCTCCAACGGGGGAGGATGTTCACGCGTCTAACGCTCTGGTGGGGCGATAGATCGATCCGCGGGGGGCAGGGTGGACCCTCGGCAGCCGTTATTACTTTTAACACTTCCTTACGAGACGATACGAGCCGGCGCACGCGCACGTTATTTTATATACTATAATTGTAAACGTAATAAACTGATTTGTTGGAAGAAATTTGAAGTTTTCCTTGTTGCCCAAACAAGAGGTAATAGAGTGCATTTCACTAATGATGGCTGTCAAATTTATAATAAAGTTGACAAGTTGGTTGCCACAGCTTGTTTGATAAATGGTGTCTATAAGTTAAAAATGCCTAAAAAATTCTTGGCCGCAGTGATGACCTCAAGTGACATGTGACATCGAAGGTTAGGTCATGTCAATAGTAACTACCTAAATAAAATGCAGAATGCCGTGGAAGGACTACACTCGACAGAAGGGCTGATATTTCAAAGTCATCGTGCATAGTGTGTTGTGAAAGCAAACAGAGTAGATTGCCTTTTCCACAGGATGGCAGCAGAGTGATGATCTCCTGCAATTAGTTCACTGCAGTGATATATGTGGGCCATTTAACAATGTTTCTATTGGTCAGTTTGAATCCTCTGAGGTGCATTTAGATTCAGTGGGGGGCATATCAGATGACACTGTGTTGAAGATGATGATGATGGAATATAAATCAATTAGACATTCCTCTTATGCAGTACTTTATTACAGTGATTATAATGTATGCGCTTGCGCTAGGCTCGCTCGCTGAAGTATGAAGTGCTCCGCCGCGCCGCGGCCGACGCGTCCCGCACCGTTCCCCCCTCCGGTCCCCGCTCTCGTTTCGCTAGTGATGTGCGTTAACTTTAGTGATGGGCGTTACCAATCTGCCCCCCTTGAAAGGTGGTTCTTTCAAGACTTTCAAGACCGTCGTCCACTGGCAGAGGGCACACTCTGTTTAAGCCTCGGCGCTCGATGCCGCGGTAAGTGATAAAATCCGCCACTCTGCAGACTCCATCGGATCCAGGATATAACTGATGGACCCTTGCCAATCTCCACTTTAGGGGCGGTAGATTTTCTTCTTTAAAGACGACCATATCCCCTGGTTTTAGTTCCTTCTTCTTAAGGCGGCACTTCGTTCGTTCTTGTAAACCGGATATGTACTCATGGCTCCATCGGTCCCAAAAATGGCTTCGGAGTTGGTCGATTAGCTGGTACCGTGTTCGTATGTCACCATTCACGTCGCCTGGCGGAGTCGGCAGCGATGTCAGCTGTCGTCCCACAAGGAAGTGCCCTGGGGACAAGGGAGAAAGGTCCTTTGGGTCACTAGATAAAGGAGTTAGCGGTCGGGAGTTGAGGATCTCCCGTCCTATTTTTGATGATAGGCACGACTACTGTCATCATCATTGCATCTGGTAGGTAACCATGGCCAATACATAAATTGTAGAATGACATAAGTACTCTAGGTAGGTGCACCCCCGCATATCGTAGGTGTTCGACGCTAAGGCCATCATGTCCAGATGACTTCCCACGTTTCATATTTTTTATCGCGTCTTTAACTTCATCGGTTGTGAAACGCATGGAGCCACCCCTGGAATGAATGCTGTCCTCAACGTCATCGTCACTCCCAGTCAAACTTTCCCTAGAGATATCAACTTTGAACTGCGCCTTAAACATATTCGCTATGTTTTGACAGCCACTCACGCCCCCTACTTCAGCCGGAAGACTCGGCCTTGCATTCAGTTTATTTGTATATTGCCAAAATTTACCAAAATGCTTAGCCTCATACGATGTTGCCAATATATCCATTTTTATCTGCTCTACATTGTCCTGGCACATTTTAAGTTTACTTTTAAAAACTCTACGTGAATCCTTCATATCATCGTATGAAGCTCCACAGGTCGGCTTCCCGGCACATACCCATGACTGAAAGCAAAAACGAGCCCTAGCATGATACGGCGCCACATGCTTATTCTATCCCGTAATATATCGCTTATTATTACGCTGCAGCGATTCGCGACAATATATCGCTGCATCCTGCAGTATACATGTAATAGCCTCATACATTTTTACAATAGCTACTTTATGTTCAGACTTATTGCATAACTTATCAACACACTCTCTCATCTCCGTAGGGCAATCCACCGATCTTAACCTATTGTTACAGAAATCTGTATATTTGTTAATCTGATCAATATCCCTGTGTCCCCAGATTATTTTATTAGCTACTTTAGACTGCGAAGGCTGGATCTGGGAGTGATTTAGGCTAAATTTACAATAAACTTCCATGGGATAGTGATCAGACCACGTTACATCGTTTCTAATGTGAATGCTCTCTATATAATTTCTAGCTAAGCTTGTCACAACGCAATGGTCTAGCCACCGTGTGCATCCATGACTATCACTCATAAATGTGTACACATCTGTATAATTTGACAGCAATTCAAAGTCAGCACTTACCCACGTTTGTTCTTCACAAAACTGACACATTTCAGTAAAAAACAACTCCTCGGGGTGTGCATTAAAATCGCCTAGAATAAAAGCCATGGCAATGCCGCTATCCTCAATAATTGCATTAATTTCACTTAGGCAGTCTGTGAACTCTGTAAGATTATCGGGGCAGTCAGTAGGCATATATACAGAGAAATATAACACAGTGTGCTCACGAAACTGGCACTTAATTGCGCATAACCTGACACTACTACACTTTACTACAGTCACTGATGTAAACACATTCTTAAGCCATAATAGAGCGACACCTCCGTGAGGACGGCCATGCAAAATGCCACGGCCCGTATCTACAGCCGACGTCCCTGTAGACTCGAAATCGTCATGCACGGTGCTAAGATAGGAGAGGTCAAATGGCAGCAGCCAGGTCTCTTGTAATGCTACCACGTCCGCTGTCCCGCATAAACTCCTAACACTATCCACCGAACGCTTCAGTGACTTACAGTTGAAACTGACTAATTTTAGGCTGTGATTTTCTCCTCTATTAATGTCCTGCACCATTGTAGATTTTCTGCTCACGATCTACTGTAGCCTTTTTTTCATGCCTAAATAATATATATCTTCTAAAATATATACCTTCCGGCCATAATTCATTGTCCGTAAATAACGACAATTTACTTCTAGGCACAAAAAACTTAAAAGAAGTATAATCCTTTGATGTTTTCATATTTACTTTCTCTGGCATTATATTTATTTGAGTTTTACCATAAACATACTCTGCAACATCCTTCTCAGTGTTTTCTTTCGATACATTATATATTGTGTATACCATTTTGTTTGTGGTGTTGTATATGTGTATGATTACACGGGTCAACATGAAATTTGACTTTGATTGCAAAGCATTAAATTTCGGTAGTTTAGGTCGTAATAAGACGGAAAAAAAATATATGGCATGAAAAACTTTGCTTTTGTGCTTAGAAGACTAATTGAACAAAATTTTTAAAAATCTCGGATTTTAATTTTTGATTGAAAATAAAACTATTGAAATAAAAATGTTTATTATTTTTATTAAGTTTTACTATCAAATTAGCTTACAGAAAAGTGGAAAATAACTTAAAAGTGCACACTTTTACTTTTTCTTTTATGTTCATAGCTACTTTCTCTCAATAAACCCCAAATATAGTCGCCCATCATGTTTTCATTGTATTGGCCTTGATAGCGTTGTTCAAAATTCATGATGTCCTGATGGAAACGTTCTCCTTGCTCTTCGGAATAGGCTCCCATATTGTTTTTAAATTTATCCAAATGAGCATGCAGCATATTATGTACTTTTAATGACATCCTGCAGCCCATGGCCTTAAAATTTGTAAGCATATCCTCAACCAACTTTTCGTAGTTTTCAGCTTTATTATTTCCTATAAATCCAGAAACTACTGCTTTAAAACTGTTCCAACTTGCTTTTTGAGTACGATTCAGCAACGTTGGAAATTTTTCATCGGCGAAAATCTGTCTTATTTGCGGACCAACAAAAACCCCAGCTTTGCTTCCGATAACTTCGGAAAAAAATTTTTAAGTATCCAAAAGCTTCTGAAGTTTCATCCAGTTTTTTAACAAATTGTTTCATCAACCCTAACTTAATGTGCAAAGGCGGCATTAACACTTTTTCCGCTTCAACAATCGGCTCAAATTTGACGTTCTGTTTTCCGACACACAATTCTGTTCTTACAGGCCATGACCGTTGAATATAGTGTTTAGAATCCGCTCTGCTATCCCACAAGCACAAATAACACGGATACTTTGTATATCCACCCTGTAGCTCCATTAAAAATCCCACCATTTTAAAATCTCCAATCAGCTCCCAGTTATACTCACGATACTTTACAGATTCAAGCAAAATTTTGACACTTTCATAATTTTCTTTAAGATGTATTGAGTGAGCAATTGGAAGAGACGGAAATTTATTTCCGTTGTGCAATAGAACTGCTTTTAAACTTTTTGTAGAGCTGTCAATGAATAAACGCCATTCGCTAGGGACACAGGGTATGCCAATAGCTTCAAACATACCTTTAATGTCATTACAAAAACAAAGTCCATCTTCCTTCGTGAAAAACGTTGCAAACATTTCAGGCCTAGTCCGCTGATCCGTGATCTTAACATCATCAAGCAAATTCCACTGTTTTAACCGAGAGCCTAGAAGCTCTGCTTTATTTTTTGGCAAATTTAAATCTCTAATTAGATCGTTAAAATCTTCTGAAGTAATGAGATAGTGTTTTGGTTGTTCAGGTGTAGGCAAAAACTCCTTATCGGAATTACTTTTATAAGAACTAAAAGATGAGGTACTTTTCTGCGATAATTTTTTTGGTGGCTCAGGTACTGGTCGTGTCAGGTCGTGAGCAATTGGAGCAGAAGAAGATTCGAGGTCAGGATATTCAATAGGTTTTGCATTTTTACCTCTACGTCTTTTACTCGGATTCACCATACAAAAGTAGCAGTCAGTAATATGGTCTTTTGGTTCTCGCCAAATCCTTGGTATTGCAAATTTCATAGACCTTTTCTCACTTCGATACCAACCTAAAAATATAAAAATAAAAATTAATATGTCTATTATTTTGGATTCATCGCTTAATTAAATAAAAATTGCTTACCTTCCAAACACCTTTTACAATAACTACAAGCAACATGTGGAGCCCATGGCTTATCTTGATTCCGTACAGGACAGTCAAAATATGCTTCATAGGCTTCACAGAGAACGTGAGATGTCTTTAGTTCATATTTCACGTCTCGAACTTTAATAAATTGACCACATATAAAACAAAATGCATCAGCATCGTATTTGCACTTTCGTGACGACATTTTAAGTTATTCTGGGCTTGTAAATAACACCTGATGGTTGTTTATCACTCGGGTGCCATCTAGCGGCACAGTGTAAACGTTAATACCCCACTCTCACCGCGCGGTCTTTTTAAAAATATTAAAATCAATTAAAATTTATGAAAAAATTGAAAAATGAGTAAATTATTATTATAACTATCACAAAAGCAAACTTTATACCGAAAAAAGGTATTTTCTTTTCGTTTTTGTGCATAACTAACTGGAAAATAATAGTATAAACTTTAGGACAAAGAACGAAATTTTTTTTGTAGAGTCGTGTTATTCCTGTTTGAGTTACCAAAGTGAGTTAGTGTTGAGTACCAGAGTGAGGAAATAATTCAAGAATAATGAAAAATATATAATCTGACGATTTCCGCAAGCCGAAATAACAAAAATTCGTCGATAAAGTTAAATGCGTGCAGCTGCGTGATGCCTACATTTCCTTCTCCGCAATCTGAGGATGAAATTGAGCCAGAAAAGGAAGATGATTCTACGGATGAAGATGATGATTAATTAATCAATTAATTATAAAACATTAAATTGTTTTAAGCTTTTTTTAAGTAATTCTTTTATAAATATATGTATTCTACTAAAAAAGCATACACTTATTTATTTGCATGCTATTTCCTGAGCTTTTCAATTAATTAAGTTCAATGATTTAAAAAAATAAAAACAAAAATTCGGGAAGTTATTGGTTTTACCCCGTTTTTCGAAAATCGAGTTTTCATCAGATCTTGACGTTTTAAGGTCATAGGAAGCTTCCCTGACTACCCCCGTGTATGATGTTGTCACTAAGTTTGTATGTATGTATGTGTGTGTATGTGTGACTCGCTTATATCTTTTCAACGACTAAACCGATCGGAATCTACTACACGGCGTTCTAAAGGTTTCCCTCAAAATTAGATTTCCTGTGAATTTGAACCGATTCGGACCGATAGATTTTGAGAAATTTTGAAAAATCTCAAAAAAAATAAGAATGTTTTTTTTTTTAAAGTGGTTTTTTGGAATAACTTTTAACCGGCTTTATCAATTAACTTCAAAAACTAATCCGCCCTTAAGCTAGAAAAACCACGCCGATCGTCGCTAATCCGGTCAAAATCGGTTGATTCGTTCGAGAGATATCGTGAACGAAAAAAACCGAAAAAAGTGTTTTAGTGTTTTAGAAAAAAATTTTGGTTCGATCAATTAAAACCTGAAAATAACTTATGAGGATGATAAAACTGCGTCGAATGGCGTCAACCGCGTGAAAATTGCTTGATCTATTCAAAAGTTATTGCGGTTTGAAAATTCCAAAAATAGTGTCCTATGAAACTTCTATCAGACTTTCGAGCTGGGAGAGCTCAAATGCATAGAAATATTATTTCTTTGAACTCAGCGAGCTCAAAATATCACATAAATTATATTTTGAGCTCAAAAATATCATAAGTACAATTTTAAGCTCCCAGGAATGGAATTAGCGGGAAGTTGCAGGTATGGCCTTTAAGGTGAACCGTTTTTCTAATTTTTTTTTGTCAGATCAGGCGAATCCCTCTACATAATCGTCAGATTATGAGACAGTACGTTTAGAACATAAAGATGAACCATATATATCTTAATCTGACGCGCTTGAGTATTTCAAAATGGCGATTTTTTTTGCACATTATGAAAATGGCCGCGAGTTTGCGTCCCATCGAAATCGTCAGATTAGTGAATGAGAGCTTTTTTTCGGTGCATTTAACACTCCCTTAGAAAATCTGACGCGCTCGATAATTTTTTTTTTTCATTTTCAACCCTTAAATACAACCACCCGCATCATGCAAACGATCAGATTAACATACATACATTATTAAAGATACGTAGGGCATTGATGTTATTAATATCTGACGCGCTCGAGGATGTCTATGCAACAGTTTTTTTTTACATATTTAAAAATCTATAGCCGCTTCCCCCACCGATGTAAAGGTATATATCATATAACATTTTTTTCTTCTTATCATCTAAGCTTTGCATCCCAATAGGTCTCTACGACGCTCGAGTAAATCCCCATTTAGCATCGTGGGCTCCCCTACTATTAAGAATTTAAAAGAGAAAAAGTCAAATAAACATGAAAGTGACATATCTGTCACAACTGAAGTAAAGCCAGTCAAAATTAATAAACATATAATTTTACGAAAGCCAATAATGATTACAAATATTAACAAAAGAAATTTTAATAAGCGCAAGAAAACAAGCAAAAATAACTTCGCATATAATGTAAGCGACCTGGTTGCTCTTAAAAGAATGCAATTTAAGACTGGACTTAAAATAAAACCATATTGTCCTTATGTATAAAACATAGACGCTGACTTAGATGAACCTGAGGTAACGTCAACCGTGCCTGAACAAAGGAAAAAGTGGTATGTTCAAAGCAGGTGAAGGTACAAACTACTGTGATTTTGTTATGTTGTTTTTATTCCTACTATTAGATATGTTTTTTTAATTTTATGTTTTTACTTTTTAAGTTTTCCATTTTTTACTAGTTGATAAATTATATAATTATTGTAAGATTAGTTTTTAAGTTTATTATAATTTTTTTTATTTACTTATAGTATAGGGTGGAAGAGCGTATATAATGATATGTCTGAGGGCAGACATTGATGCAGGATGGCCGAGTGTAGGATTTGCGAGATGAGTGTGCGTGGAATAATATTTAAGAATAAAAGAGGAGGTAT